CGTGCGTTCATTGCATTTCAGCTTTGTTTACTGATGCGCAAGTAATTTGTTATGTAAGAAAGAAGGCCCACATCTTCTACTGCCTCAAATTCAATTTTTTGTTAGCTAGTTACTTTAGTCCAGTGGTAGGTAAAGAAAAAAAGGCCATGGACATTTATTACACATGAATCAGGTAAATTGGTTTGCAAGCAAAAAATCTTTGAATGTCGTTTGATCCGGTCCAACATCAGACGAGATGGAGATGCTGTATCTCCATCTGAAGGAGGCCAGTTTGTCTCCCAATGGAGCCCTGCAGCCCTTCACCAAACGCGACCAAACAAAAGAAAAAAAAAAACTGTTAAATATTTTAATTATAATACATTCAGTAGAAGGTTAAAGGCTTAACTGGGTTAATTAGGTTAATAAGGCAAGGTAGGGTAATTAAGCAAATCATTGTCACCCATGGTTTGTTCTGTAGACAGTTAAATAAAAATATAGCTTAAAGGGGCTATTAAAATTGACCTTAAAATTGTTAAAAACTGCCTTTATTCTAGCCAAAATGAAAGAAAAGGGACTTTCTCCAGAAGAAAAAATATTATAGGAAATACTGTAAAAGATTTCTTTGCCTGTTAAACATAAATTGGGAAATATTTAAAAAAGAAAAAAAAATCACAAGAGGGTTAATGCTTTTGACTTTAACTGTGTACTGTATACACAGTACATATACATGTGTGTGTTTACTAGTACAAGACCTGAAGCCATCCATTGAGTTACATTCAAATTAGCACAAAAATTACTTCATCTTTATGTTGCTCTCTATAATATCAACTCGTAACCTGATATTTCAGCATGATGCCCCTAATGCAGAACATGAAGCCATTGAGAATGAAAACTTGCACGGTTGTGTGTTGTGATGTTGTGTTCATTTATGACCGTGCTGTTTTTCTCTCTCGAAACCCTCATTATGATAATTACCGTCAGCCTGTGCTTTCATACGCTGTAATGTGAGAGGCTGTGATAAAGCCAATGTGTGCTGATGGAGCAGTGAAGGGCTCCACTGCTGACTCATGTTTGGCATTAAGAATGATCATCCCCATAGGGTTTTAACGGCATAAGGATTGCATGACCCTCTGCATGTTGTCTATGAATCATGAGGATTGTTGCTTCGGTGCATCTTATTTACAGATGAGCGGGGCTCTTTATGCAGCTGTCTGGACTCTTAATAATGGACATGTTAATTCTTGTGTGCGGGTAATGAAATTTGACATTCATAAGCTGTAGGTGTAACAGGTAGCATCAACATTTGTGTTGAGAAGCTGGTTGTGTTTTTGCAGATATGTTTATGGTAGAGTTGTAGAGTAGAGTTTATTTAAATAAAGGGCTAATTCATTTCATACATCAGTTTTTGGTGAGAGTGGCATGGTGGCTCAGTGGTTAGTACTGTCGGCTCACAGCGAGAAGGTTGCTGGTTGGAGTCCTGACTGGGCCAGTTGGCATTTCTATGTGGAGTTTGCATGTTCTCCTGGTGTTGGCCTGGGTTTCCTCCAGGTGCTCTGGTTTCCCTCACAGTCCAAAGACATACGCTGTGTAAATTGGATAAACTAAATTGGCTGTAGTGTGTGAGAGTGTGTACAGGTGTTTACTAGTACTGGGTTGTGGCTGGAATGGCTTACGCTGCGTAAAACATGCAGGAATAGTTGGTGGTTCATTCTCCTGGGGCGACCCCTGATAAATGAGGGATTAAGCTGAAGGAAAATGAATGGACGATTTAGTATTTGGTGAGAAGATAACACAAGATACTTGTTTAATAAAATTATCTGGACTCTTGTTAGGTTTTTAATAGAGAGATTTTTTTTAAATAAGATGACAGTACATGCTATTACTTCTCATCTAATTTTCTTTTTTGCGGGTTACTAATATTTAGCTTAAAGTAACACTATTAAAGTAACCTTAAATTGGTTAATTAGGTTAGCTAGGCAAGTTAGGTTGATTAGGTAAGTCATTTGAACAACAGTGGTTTGTTTAGCCAACTGATATTTGTTTTCTATGATTAAGATATAATGCATTCAAGTTACACAGTAAATTTAGTTCAAAGTTTGCAATTTTATTTGACAAAATCTTTAATTGGAAATTTGATTACATTAAAATGTTTCAATTACTTTTAAATGTACATATTTTTACCTTCACTTTTTTGGGTATTAATTATTGTATTTTTTTTAATAATAATAATTATAATAATAAATTATATTTATGATGCACTTTTCTTAAATACAACAACAGATAAAATGCAAATCAAGCCAGAATTACAAGCTTAGATAAAATTACATTAACATGCCAAAAGTCACACCGCAATAATCAATAAAACTAAAAAATAATAAACAAGCAAAAAGATTGCAAACTGCATTAAATGACAGTGACAATGACGAATTAAATGCTTTTTAAAGTGTCTTAAGAAGCTTTTAAAAAACAATTAAGAGAAACGGCCATTCCTAACAATTGTGGTTAATACTTTCCATAATTTAGTTTTTTTTTTCATTTCGTTTTGTTTCATTTCGTTTCATTTGTTTCATTTAGTTTTGTTTCATTTTGTGTTGTTTGTTTCATTTTGTGTAGTTTCATGTAGTTTTGTTTTATTTTGTTTTGTTTGTTTCATTTAGTTTTATTTTGTTTGGTTTGTTTCATTTAGTTTTGTTTTCCCCTAAATTCCAAAGACATGCGCTATAAGTCAATTGGGTAAGCTAAGTATGTGGGTAAATGTATGTGTGTACATGAGAGTGTGTTTAGATGTTTCCGTGTGATCGGTTGCAGCTGGAAGGGCATCCGCTATGTAAAACATGTACTGAATAAGTTGGCAGTTCACTCCGCTGTGGTGACCCCTGATTAATAAAGGGACTAAGCCGAAATTTTTTTGTTTTGTTTTCTTTCGTTTTGTTTCGCTTTATGTCATTGCCTGTTTTGGCATTTTTGCCATTTTGAAATGTTTATTTTAAATAGTGTCTTCCAAAAAAGTGGATTAGAGAGTTCATTTGTCTCTTCTCATACAGTTAAAGCCAGAATTATTCGCCCCCCTTGGAATGTTTAACAGAGCAAGGACATTTTCACAGTATGTCTGATAATATTTTTTCTTCTGGAGAAAGTCTTATTTGATTTATTTCAGCTAGAATAAAAGCAGTTTTAGTTTTTTTAAACCTATTTTAAAGTCAAAATGTTTAGCCCCTTTAAGCTGTTTTTTATTTGATAATCTACAGAAAAAACCATCATTATACAATAACTTGCCCGATCACTCTAACCTGCCTAATTAACCTAATTAAGCCTTTAAATGTCACTTTAAGCTGTATAGAAGTGTCTTTAAAAATATCTAGTCAAATATTATTTACTGTCATCATGGCAAAGATAAAATAAATCCGTTATTAGAAATGAGTTATTAAAACTATTATGATTACAAATGTGTTAAAATAATCTTCTCTCTGTTAAACAGAAATTGGTGAAATTTTTTACAGGGGAACTAATTGTTAAGGGAGGCTAATAATTCTGACTTCGACTGTATTTCCCCCAAAACTCCTCATCATGCCACTGATTTAATTTCTCTGCTGTTTGAGCTGTACTTGTTGATCTGTTAGTCAGATGCAGAGTGTGTGTGTGACTGAACACAGGCGGGCTGATGGTGTGTTGAATCCTGACTGCTGCCCCAGTGCTTCTACTGTCAGCTTCAATCTTGTAGTCTCAGTGCTTTCTGTCCCCACACTGCACTGCTCGTCCTCAGACTGATGCCATTGGTCCTGACTCGCTGTCCCTTAGAGACTCTGCCACACAATCACCAGCAGAGTTTTGGGCTTCACTTCCTTTTAAAAACTTACTCTTAGGAGTCCCAACTTTGGTTGCTTGTAAAGTGTTCCAGATGATGCACTTTGATTGATTTGATGCACTTTGATTGTCATTGATTTTAATTGGCCATTATATTTTCTTAGTTATATGAATATAACTTTATATTTGTTAAGCTGTTTGGTTATGGAGTTCAGATTATAAAATTTATACATTTTTAAATTGTACTGGTGAAATTTCCTTTAATGTAAAAGTTTTTTTTTTTTAACTAAAATTCAATATTTATAATAATTTAATAATTATATTATTAATATAATATAATATAATATAATATAATATAATATAATATAATATAATATAATATAATATAATATAATATAATTCATTTCCCAGAGATGGGTTGCGGCTGGAAGGGCATCCGCTGCGTAAAAACTTGCTGGATAAGTTGGCGGTTCATTCCGCTGTGGCGACCCCGGATTAATAAAGGGACTAAGCCGACAAGAAAATGAATGAATAAATGATAATATAATATAATATAATATAATATAATATAATATAATATAATATAATATAATATAATATAATATAATATAATAATGTTTTATATTATTATATTATATTATATTATATTATATTATATTATATTATATTACATTAATTATACTATATTATATTATTATATTAAATTATTGCATTATTATTAAATATAATTTTATTTTATTTTAATATTAATTAATTAAATTATTACATTATTATATTATATTGTATTACATTATTACATTATTATATCATATTATATTATAATTATATTGTTTCATTTTCACAGAATTGTAATTTATTTTGGTGATATAAACTTGCAGTCGTGCAAATAAATTAGAAATTGTGGTATGCAATCTTGAAATTATGAGAAAAAGTTAGAATTGTGTGGAACAATTACCTTTAAAAATATTTCACATCGTGTAATACAAGCTTCCATACTTCTCACATTTTAATTTACAATTAAAACATTTATTTAAACCATATATCATTTCCTTAAAAAAACGTACCCATTTTTACTCAACAAACCTATTTCTGCCACATTTGCCACTTGCCAAGTGTGAAATTTGGATCACGAGTAAATAATTTTTTCATATTATTACATAAATCACAATTTATCAATATAATAAAATTTTTTTAACTTCTTCATGTCTCTGTTCCAGCTGTTTGGTGTGCAGAAGTGGAGGAGCGGTTGGTAAACTATTTACTCTCCCCTGACCGGTACAATAAGCTGATCCGGCCGGCGGTCAACAAGAGCCAGCAGGTCACCATTGCAATCCAAGTGTCCCTTGCTCAGCTTATCAGTGTGGTAAGTCATTTAGAAAAAAAAAATATATATATATATAAATGCCATACACAACTTTATGTATCACATAATAGGTTAATACTTGCATTTCAGAATGAGAGAGAGCAGATCATGACCACCAACTGTTGGCTTACTCAGGTAAGAGCAAACAAGCTTTAATTTGGGTTGGAATTTTTAAGTGAGGAATAACTGACGACAGGCTGTTGAATTATTATGAAAATAAAAGCTGCTACATGTCAAATGTCTATTATCTAGTGTGTAATGGGGTCACAATCTGCCTGTAATTGCTTTAGTTGTGCGGTTCCTTGGAATGACACCTTAGAACGTTTGTCAGCCAATCCGAATCAAGCATCCGACAGCCCCATAGTATTGATCTTATTCTGCAATGTATAAGTTTGCTTGTTTTCGTTCGTCTGATTCAGTTGCCTATGGGAGTAATGACTAGAGTAATGAACGGCAGAAAATGCTCAAACTATTTGCTCTACAAACATGTGTTCATGACTATACATGATAAGTATAATAATATAATACGGAAATATCAGTTTGCAACATCAAACAGCATGACGAGCTGTTTTTAATGTCTAGAAATCAATGGAAGTGAATGAGACCGGAAGTATTGAGCCAAAAAGACTGCAATGCTGCGCTCCTTCATATGTGAAGAATGAGGTCAATAAAAACACTGAAAAAAGTGTGTGTTGTTTTAGGTATGGAATGATTATCGGTTGATGTGGGATCCAGAGGAGTATGAAGGGATGAGGAAAGTTCGGCTTCCCTCTCAACATATATGGCTGCCTGACATCGTCCTGTACAACAAGTAAGACATTACTGTATATAGCTCTTAAAAGTCTACATGAAGTAAAAAAAACAACTAACCTTTAATCAAAATCTGACCTGCTTCTGCTCAAAATATTTTAAGAGTTCACACTTAGCTGATGATTGATAATAAAGCTTGTTCGGCATGCTGTCCCGGGAGAGAGCCCTGAACTCATAAGATCCTAAAGCCTGGGGCTCCCTCCCGTTTGAAGGGCGAGAGGAGAGTTTGAGCTCAGGTAGGTCTTGAGAACTCCCTTGCTTATGAATGTTATATCTGGCTTAGAGTTGTCCCAAGATGCTATTTTGGAGTAGTCATTTTACTTATAGTGTATGTCTTTGGATGGAGGGAGGAAATCGAGTTAAAAAAAAAAAGAGTTCAATCTAATTTCAATTTAAAGCGACAGTCACCAAGATAATTTTCTTGTGTATTTTGAGCTGCAACTTCACAAACATGCTCTAGGGACATCAGAGACATACGTATTGTAAAAATAGGCATGATAGGTCCTCTTTAAGACTAACAATGTGCGCTAGTAAAATAAAAATTGTACATTTTCATTTCATGCAGACTTTGGGAATACCCTTATGATGCATTATTAAAACAGGCTTCTTAGGTCTTAGACCTTCATTTCCTCACACTCATATCATTCTAATGCAACTTTTGTCTGCTGGGAAAAAAGTTGGAATTTTAAAAGTTTGATTCAACTTGTTTATTAATTCAAGGGGGTTCAAAACCCACACTGGACCTCACTGATTTTCAGTGTATGGGGAACAAATTGATTTTGAAAATTTCATCTAGTTTGTGCTGCAGAAGAAAAAGTCAAACCGGTTTGGAGTGACATGAGGGTGTGTAAGTGATGACAGATGCTTCATTTTTGCTGAACTATCCCTTTAAATAATTTATTAGAGGTATTAGTAATGCAAAGGTTGAATCTTTATAAAAAATACAGGTGGCAGCAGGAGACCTTGTGTTATGATTTTTTTTACATTGCTGCATTGATGCAGAATTTGGGCAAAGTTTAAACTTTTCCAAGGACAGAGTTACTACATTAATCTTAAGGATTGAGATCCGACTGACACTGTTTTGTTCACATGATGATGAATAGGGCTGGGCGGTGTTTTGAGTTTTTACAATATATCTATATATATTTTTATGAACTATATGGTAGGGTTGTCACAATATTGGAATTTGGTACTAATCGATAGTAAAATTTAAAAAATGTCTTGTTTATTTATTTATTTATTTTGCTTGTAATTTATTATAAATTATGCAGATGCACTATAAAAAAAAGACTTGATCACAACAGTGGATTTAAAAAGCTCCTATTTTACCCCTTTTTTCAAGATTTAAGAAAAGTCTTGTGTTTCTCCAGAATGTGTTTGTAAAGTTTCAGCTCAAAACACCCGTAAGACTATTTATTATACTTTTCATAACATTAGAATTTTCTTCTCTGAAAATAGTGTAGCTGTTTTTGTGGCCTGTACCTTTAGTGCTAGTTCTCCCCGTCCACCGTTCCCATGTGGCTGTTAAAGTGTGCCTCAGCTCAGTCTCCGCTTTAGCTGCGACAGACATGAAGAAAGCAGATAACGTTTGTGAGAAATACTACAGTAAGAACTTTCCCAATGATTATTTGATGTATTTGTTGTGGAGTTAATTCAAGCCTTTCTGCGACATGCAATGTCATTACAAAGTTCATGCACACACACAGACACACACACGCAGCGAACATACATACATACAGCGCACACATTTAACTTTGCATTGTTTTTGCATGCAAATGTGACAGAATACACATTAATATGCACTGCTGTATGGATATCCTCTATGTTAATGTACAATATAAACCTGATTTAATGTCCACAAACCAGGATTGATGCATCTTTTATAATTGTTCTGACGTGCAGCTGAGGTGATTCAGAAAAGACAGCTCTAAAAAAATCGCAGTAATTAATTACAAACATGCACTGTTTTAAAGATGTTTTAAACTTGTAAAACTCTTCTTGATCTTGAATTCTTGATCACATTTAATGATGATTGATGATCACAAGGAGTTGAACAGAATTTTAATCCCTATTGCTTTGCGCACATCCTGTTTTGTTGATATGATTATACACGTTACTACGACAACATGTTAATAAGCGGCTGTCAGTCAATTCGGTGGGAGGAGAAACCGCACTCCGTCACGTTGAGCCTCAAAATGGGAGAGATTTGGATCCTATTTTAACTTCAGGAAATAAATAAAGAGACTCATTGGGGTTTTATCACCCCCAATATGACTGTGGACACACTATACCTACACACATCTTTCAAAAGATGATTTTCAGTATAGGTGCCCTTTAAATGAATGAAATCTTTCCAAATCTATTCAAATGATCTGGTGAAATTGTATTTATATCGCAATATATCGATGCAAAACTAAATATGGCAATGTCAGATTTTTCCAATGTATTGCAGCCCTAATTGTACAGCATGAAGTAGGATATAACAAGTGCAAAACAAATACAGATTATTTAAAGTACAAATGTAAAAATAAAGAAAATACTGACATATCCATCTAAAAAATACCGAAATGTGATTTCTCGCCCAGCCCATAATGATAAGCTGACTCTCTGAAACTTTGAGTTTCACCTTTATTTTTATGCACACCAGCAAAATAAGATACTCACCTTTTTTGTTTTTTCACTTAAAACAACATATTGAAAGCAGTGTGTTTGTCATTTTTAGTGCTGATGGGACATATGAGGTGTCTTTCTACTCCAATGCGGTCGTGTCAAATAACGGTGAGGTTGCCTGGCTTCCACCGGCCATTTATAAGAGTGCCTGTAAAATCGAGGTCCGGGACTTTCCTTTTGACCAGCAAAACTGCACGCTCAAGTTCCGCTCCTGGACGTACGACCACACAGAAATAGACCTCATATTGCTGTCAGACTTCGCCAGTCGAGACGACTTCAAGCCCAGCGGTGAATGGGACATCGTCTCCTTGCCTGGTCGCAAAAACGAAGACCCAAATGATGTCACGTATTTGGATATAACCTACGATTTCATCATCAGACGCAAGCCACTGTTTTACACCATAAACCTGATCATCCCTTGTGTCCTCATCACCTCATTGGCCATCTTAGTTTTTTATCTCCCGTCAGACTGTGGGGAGAAAATCACATTGTGTATTTCTGTTCTCCTGGCCTTAACTGTGTTTCTCCTACTGATCTCCAAAATCGTACCCCCGACATCACTGGCCGTGCCCCTCATCGGGAAGTATTTAATGTTCACAATGGTTTTAGTGACTTTTTCTATTGTTACGAGTGTGTGTGTGCTAAATGTGCACCATCGATCGCCAAGCACACACTCTATGCCCAAATGGGTGAAATACTACTTTCTTGTACGTTTGCCTGCTTTTCTTTTCATGCGACGGCCGGGAGAGTCCAACAAACGGGATAGGTTTCGCAGGAAGCACCAGCAGCACTCTTCGTCCGATGTCCCAGTGAAGAGCGAGGCTGATGAGGCCGATTCCACCTTCTTCGTGAATGAGGATTCAGCCAATCACATCGGCTGGAGAGCAGGAGAGCTGCAAGAGAACAGCGAGCTTCGCAAGAGGATGGCGGTGAAGTGCTCGGCGGACATGGAGGAGGCTGTGAAGGGGGTTAGATACATCGCTGACAAGATGAAGAGCGAGGATGATGACGAAGGGGTGAGTTTTATACATGTGTTTGGAAAAAATATGTACACAAAAAAATTATGTTTGCTGGTTGTAAGTACTTATTTAAAATTAGCAGAAACAACTAATTTTTTAGAGGTTTAAGAAACCCTGGAGTACTTTTTTATTTGAACAGATTTGGGTGTGTTGAGCATCAGTCAAGACAACGTTAGCTCCTGTCAGCTTTATTTGTGGGGAAAACTGGATAATTTTGAGCTTTTGTTCAAACTTATTTCATCTTCCGGCTTTAAAATCATCTTTGGGGATCAAAATCGGTGACGTAGCGTGAATCTGCAAGTGGAGTGATGACTCTGCGGTTTCTCATTATTATTCATAGCAGAGATTTCAATCCTATGAGAAGACCCTGCTGCTTAATTATTCATGAGAGCATGTGCTTTCCGAAGGCAAGGCAGACCTGCCAAGCTGTGAGACCCAATGACTGGGTGAGACCGTGTCCACATACTGTATTAAGTATTTAGCTGTTCAAGAAGGCTCGTATGTGTTTGTTTCCATGATCCACGAGGTTTGTTGCATGTTTTTCCCCGCGATGCTGTCAGGGCCGATACAGCAAAACTGTTGACTTGCAGCAAGCATTTTTGTACGAGAATTAGAAAATGGGGGACTTTGTCTTTAATCTGTTCAGTTCGTTACCATACAGACACATCGCCTATTCGTGCTGCTGTGCTGGTCTATGATTAAAAGTTTACTTAATTCCTTCGACTTGCCCCAACACAAATCATTTGTGTGGAACCCAGCTATTTTAACAGTGTACACATTGTAAAAAAATGCTAGGTTTCACACAATTCCTTTATGTAGTCCCAACACAAATCGATTATGTTAACTTAATTGTTTTTACAAAATTACATAAAAAATATGTTATCTCAAAAAAACTGAAGAATTGTATTGATTCGGTGCATTTTAAATATGTAGTTTGAACAAGTAGAAAAAAAAATTATTCAGTCTTTCTAACACAGAAATGGCATATAAAGTCTAGATGTTGCATTTTGGTTTTTACATAAAATTAAATTTGCATATAAAACGTATAAAATAATATGTGATTATATTAATACTGTATATTTTTGTTGACAAATTGATAAAACCATTTTTCGGGCTGCTCATAAAAATATAATATATTGCAGGACACAATCTATCACCTAGGAAATTATCATATTTAAAATTTTGGATTGCTAAACATACAATTCTAAAATAAATATTAATAAAGAAATTTCAGCATACATGAGAACACCCCTTACAAATCTCTCAATTAAATTAATATTTTCTATAGGATGCTTTACAATATTATATTTGTGCATATACATTAGTTTAGTCAGTACTGAAGCCAAATCTGGAGCTAATCTAACAAAATAACTTATAATAACGGTCCAAAAACTAGTACACCCAAATTTATATGTTATAGAAAAATATTAAATACAAAGTGATGAAAAATGAAAAATCAAGAAATAATAAAATTTACAAAATTTAGTTTAAATTTAGTTTAAATTTTGTAGTTTATTTTTTTATATTTTGCATGAATTTTAACATACTATCTTTTTATTTCTAAAGACGTTCTGTGACTAAAATGTATTTAATTTATTTTAATAAATATATTGGTTTAATAAATCAGTTTTGTTTAAATGCATTCTTTTATGGTATATATATATGAGCAATATTACATGAGTAGCAGTGTAATATGGCTGTATATCGGCTCTGGTGGGAGGTGTGCGTTGGCTCGAGGCAGCAGGCTGAGTGCTTTAGTGTCTCACCAGTGACGATACACAGCCATATTTCGTTTATACAACAGTTCGGCGGCATTATCGTGTGTATAAAAATGAAAATAAAAAACGTAGACTCTAAAAAAAACTTTTGTTCTAGGAACTACTTTCTTACGCCATTTATTCACATCTGCAGCTGACGTCAAAACAGCAAAAATTGTTGCTTAAAAACATGTCACTTTAGAGCTAGTATTTGAATGATTCTCTAGCATAATGTCTAAACTGATGACAAAACAGATGATTTTGCTCACATTTTAAGATTTTAAGGCTGAACAGCATGAAATGCCATCTCAGTCGACAGAGATTTTCCAGTATTTCTCTGTTGCAATCAGGAGATCACTATAATTAACCCAGAGAAAGCCAAAGCAAATCAAACACTAGCAGATTACTATGGTATAAATACAGTACTACAAAATACAAAAGAGGGAGATTAATTTATACACATGTATATATACACACATAATACACACACACACACACACACACACACACACACACACACACACACACATGCATGTATACATTACCTGATAAAAGTCTTGTCATCAACAGTTGTAAGAGCAACAAATAATAACTTGACTTCTAGTTGATCATTTGGAAAATTGGCAGAAGGTAGATTTTTCAGATGAACCGTCTGTTGAACTGCATCCCATTCATTACAAATACAGCAGAAGACCTGTTGGAACTTGCATAGACCCAAGATTCTTACAGAAATTAGTCTGGTATGGTATTGGAAAAATCATGGTTTGGGGTTACATTCAGTATGGGCGCGTGCGAGAGATCTGCAGAGTGGACGGCAACATCAACAGCCTGAGGTATCAAGACATTTGTGCTGCCCATTACATTACAAACCACAGTAAAGGGCAAATTCTTCAGCAGGATAGTGCTCCTTCTCATACTTCAGCCTCTGCATCGAAGTTTCTGAAAGCAAAGAAGGTCAATGTGCTGCAGGATTGGTCAGCCCAGTCACCAGAAATGAACATTATTGAGCATGCCTGGGGTAAGATGAAGGAGGAGGCATTGAAGATGAATCCAAAGAATCTTGATGAACTCTGGGAGTCCTGCAAGAACGCTTTCTTTGTCATTCCAGATGACTATTAATAAGTGATTTTAGTTATTGCAGAGATGTATGGATGGATGATTGAAATCAACGCATTATCTTGTTTTATTTTGGTGAAATAAGTGTAATCTAGTCATATAAGCCACTTCTGATATCAAGTGATCAACTAGTCATGTTATTATTTGTTCTAAAAACTTGGATAGGCGACAAGAATTTGGTCAGGTAGTGTATACTGTTCTTCAATACAAACTTCACATTTTACCTCATTTTACTGTTAAGTTGGTTCAAACATAACATAAACAGCATTTTGATGGACATTTACAGACTGAGTTAATGATTGCTTAACATAATTATCATAATGTTATTTTTTTTATGATGATTATGTGATAAATTAAGAAAAAAGCTATTAAAACTATACATTCATATTATTATTTAGTTATATTTTTTATTTATAGTTATAGATGTATTCTCTCTCTCTCTCATTCTATATATATAGAATGCTAGGCTGTGGCGTTGACACTATGCTCAATTGGTACTAATGGGGCCCAAAGTGTGCTAAGAAAATATCCCCCACACCATTACACCACCACCAGCAGCCTAAACTGTTGCTACAAGGCAGGATGAATCCAAGCTTTTATCTATTATTATGACGCCAAATTCTGACCCTACCATCCGAATGTCACAGCAGAAATTGAGACTCATCGGACCAGGCAACGTTATTTTCAATCTTCAATTGTTTAATTTGGTGAGCCTGTGTGAATTGTAGCCTCAGTTTCCTGTTCTTAGCTGACAGGAGTGGTACCTTGTGTAGTCTTCTGCTGCTGTAGCCCATCCGCCTCTAAGTTGGAAGTGTTGTGCGTCCAGAGATGCTCTTCTGCCTACCTCGGTTGTAACGAGTGGTTATTAAATTTACTGTTGCCTTTCTATCAGCTCGAACCAGTCTGGCCATTCTCCTCTGACCTCTAGAGACATCTGACAAGGCATTTGCACCCACAGAACTGCCGCTCACTGGATATTTTCCCTTTTTCGGACCATTCTCTGTAAACCCTAGAGATGGTTGTGCGTGAAAATCCCAGTAAATCAGCAGTTTTTGAAATACTCAGACCAGCCAGTCAACAAACATGCCATTTTTAAAGTCACTTAAATCACCTTTCTTCTCTATTCTAATGCTCAGTTTGAACTGCAGCAGATCGTCTTGACCATGTCTACATGCCTAAATGCATTGAGTTGCTGCCATGTGATTGGCTGATTTGAAATTTGCATTAACGAGCAGTTGGACAGGTGCACCTAATAAAGTGAGGTGTACCTAATAAAGTGGCCAATGAGTGTATATTTATATATATACGTATATAATTAAAGTTTTAGTTGATATTTACTTTAAGTGTAAGTATTTTTTTAATATTTGGATTTATCTATATGAGTTTGTAACAAAGCATTAATAAATTGAGCGACTTGGTTTTATAAAACAACATTAAAAGGAAAATATGCTGAAACTGCTTATTTTTTGTGTTCTTCCACTGCCTGTAACACACTACACTGGTAAATCAAAAAGTCAAACAAAAGCCTGAACCTGCTATGCAGAGGAGGCCTCATTAGCACTTTAATCACAGTATTTTGGCTGTATTAATTACTCAGGACTCTCTGAGTTATTTTTAGTGTGTTTCAGTGTTAACTCATCGTGACTGTGACTCTGCTGATTTGACAGGTGGCGACGGTGCAGTCAGGGGAGTGTGCAAATGGAGGATGGGATGCATTATTTAAAGGACTCTATGAATATTTAAGTCATTTTCCGGTCTGTTTTCTCCTCTTCTGAAGACAGTGGTCTGTGCAGACATGCACATGCAGGGTGGATGAAGGAAACTAATAAGCACAGAATGTGAGTCAGCAACCATTAAATCATAATGCCAGATGCCATGAAACCAGCGTAGACTTCTCTTAACTTTACCTCTGCAGTGCAGTTTTCGCTCTCTATCTGTGCATTATTGATTTCAGCTCTGGAGTTCTGCTGTGTATTCGAATATTTGAGAACTTTTTTGGTGTGATCCAGTCAAGTTTATGGCCATATTCCAAATGATATTCAGATTCAAATGCAGTGGTGTGAGAGAAAGTGACACAGACCCTCACGAGGCCACAGCTGGTTCCAACTGGAGCAGAAAATCACAGCAGCTCAGACTGTAGCTGTGAACAGTAAGGAGATGCATTTGCCTGCGCTGCTGCTGCTGTGAGTGTTTACACAAGACACACTGCAAAGATTTCATTTCAATACATCTGATCGGTCGTTGTAGGCAAACACATTCTGTAGACTAAAGTGCATAACATTTCTAAAGCCATTTTAGTTTGACTGTTAAATTGTAATTCTCTTATATTTTCCCCCAATTTCTGTTTAATGAAGAGAAGAGTTTTTTCAACATGTTTCTAAACATAATAGTTTTTAATAACTCATCTCTAATAACTCATTAATTTATGTCAATAATGACAGTAAATAATATTTTACTAGATATATATTAAGACACTAGTATTTAGCCTAAAGTGACATTTTAAAGGCGTAATTAGGTAAATTAGGTAAGTTTGGGTAATAAGGAATTGTATAACAGTAGCTTGTTCTGTAGACTATTGAGAAAAAAAAATAAGGGGGCTAATTATACTGACCTTAAAATGGATATAAAATAATAATAATAAAACTGCTTTTATTCTAGTCGAAATAAAACAAATAAGACTTTCTCCAGAAGAATACATATTAAAGGAAATACTGTGAAAATTTCCCTCATCTGTTAAACATAAATTGGGAATATCTGAAAAAGAAAAATTACAGGATGACTAATAAATTTGACTTCCACTATTACTGTACATATACAGTACACACACACACACACACAGAGTCAAGCCTGGAATTATTTTAAGCCCTAAATTAGGTTTTTGTTCGGACGTAAATAAACGCTGAGAAATCTTTTTTTTCTTCATTGATGCCTCTTATACATGATTGTAATATTTTTGCAAAAAAATCAAAAGCAACAAAATTTGTCAGGGGTATGAATAATTTCAGGCTTGACTGTAAATACAAAGGAAAAATGTTTAGATATACAAATACACCCAAGTTGCACACCATTCCAAAGCATGAATAAACATTATTTTATTATTCATTTTATCACTTTTTTAGTTAGGCATTTTGATCTACCACTGTGTATTACATGTGCTATATTTACATATACAGTATGTGAAAAGGGTGACAGGTGTGAGAAAACAGATTTTACTATATTATTATTATTATTATTGTTGTTGTTGTTGTTGGTGTTGTTTTATAACAACGATGCCTTATATAAAGCACTTTAAGTAACTATTGTTTATGATATGTGTTTTATATGTAAACTTGGCTAATACCTATAGTGCTCAGCATATATGATTACACCCCTCACAAATCTCTCATTTAATTATTTCCTATAGGAAGTTTATATATATATATATATATATATATATATATATATATATATATATATATATATATATATATATATATATATATATATATATATATATATATATATATATATATATATATATATAATAAGCCAGTACTGAAGCCAAATCTGAAGCTAATCTAACAAAATAATTTATGATAATGGTTCAAAAATTGGTTGACCAAATTGATATATAAAAGGAAAAATTATTAAATATATAAATTTATTAATATACTTAATAATTTTTTTTAAATGTTCAAAAATTGCAAAAATCAAGAGAAACAAACAAAAAACTAAATTGTTGAAATGTTGTTTGTATTGTTTTTGTATTATTTTGCATGAATTTAAATGCATTGTCTTAAGATGTTCTGTGACTAAAATATAATTTTAATAAATACATCTGTTTAATCTGTTTTGTTCAAATATTCTTTTTCAAAATGTAGTGTACTCATTTATGCTGAGCACTGTATGTATATGTCTGAGTCACATTACAACATTTTAACAATTGTTTTTATTATAGAGTATTTTTGACTATTATTTTTATTATTTAGTTTAATCCCAGATTGCCCGTAACAAAAACAGTATTTAAGTGCCAAAATCTTTTCAGGTTTCTTTTAATTATTATTTGAATTAATTAAATTAAATAATGATTCAATAAAAAGTAATAGTAATTTTCTGCATGAATACTTCACAGACGTTTCCATTTTTGCTGCTCTGCAGAACTAAAAATACAAGTACAATGTTTGCAAATATATTACATAAAATGAGTCCTTTGTATTAAACACAGTAAAATGTCAAACTTTTGTATACATTTTCAAAGTGTAGAATTGTAAATATGTTTTGGAGAAATCTAGGTAAAAAAGGGACAGCGCTATCTACACTGCTTTTCAGATTTTGTTTGTGGTAAATTCACCTGTCCCTTTAAACCGTAACGCACGCGCTTCCCCCAGTCTCTTCTGGGACACGAGCACGCGCGCGCCTCTGGATGGATTCTCTTCAGGAGTCAACCTCCGCTTTTCCTGCAGTTTTCGCGGCAAACAACAAACTTTTATCGCTTGTTATGAAAAGTTGTTTTTAAACAGCAGCCAGTGCGTTCAGATTCATTTGAGTAAGAGTCAGGTCAATTTTTAATACTCCCTCCTGAAATGACGCTGACAGTCATTGGTCTTTTTACCTTGTTTACCAGCATCTTCGCCACCACGCCTGGTAAGTGCAAACCAATCACTTTCTTTCTGTCCTGTGAAGTACTTTCTTGTTTGTTATGCTTTATAAAGACTGTAAAAATGCTGAAAATGTCGATTTTCTATACCTAAAACATTGTTATTTATATCAGCCATCATATGAACTTGAACAGTTTTGAATGGTTGTATCAGCAATGTTAGTCTACGAGCTGTAATACATCTTATAAGCAAAGTTTAATACGAGTTGTTTATTAAATTTAATCTGACAGCTGTTTTATTTTTCGTTCATGAATTGTTTTTCTTTTGTCTACTTCAACGTGTCCTCCAACCAAATGCTATCTGGTCACTATATGCAGTTAAGTGCTCTTGTCCTCATTTGAGGTCAGTAAACAGTTTGTGGAGGACACAGTGAGTGAACATCTGCTGATCTCTATGAAGTGTCTGGTTTCTATCTGCCCTTGTATCTCTGCCATTACTCTTAGTGTACTTACTCTCTGTTCACATGACTCTTGCACTTTTACTGCAGTGTTTAGCTTTCAATTCAAGCACAAACACTAATATTTACTGCTAGAAGGTGGCATTGATACCCGGTCAGTTAAGAAACATATATTTTTAGTAAAATGTTGTTAATACCATACAGTATTAATGTGATAAGGTGTAAATAATGCTAATGTGTGTGTTTCAACAGCTAGAGAGTTTGTATCTCTGGCAGAAAGAGAAGATGCTCTGCTCAGGGACTTGTTTCAGGGGTACCAGCGTTGGGTCAGGCCCATTCTGCACGCAAACCACACTGTGAAGGTGCGCTTTGGCTTGAAGATCTCTCAGCTTGTGGACGTGGTAAGAAAAATACACTAGTTGGCACTTTATAGACTTCACATGAAGCTTTAGTATGATGTGCCTGGGCTGGTCTCTGTCCATGGTGCTGAAAATGCAGCACTCGAAGCTGTCTTTGGTTTTAAAACCAGTGGATTATTAAACCCATATATTAGGGACATCTGCTTTCTTAGAGTCTATATATAGAATATATTGCTGTCCTGCTTCTCCACTCCATCTTTTCCCTCCCATTTTCCTGTTTTTTCTGCCTCACTCTTTCTCTGAAAGGATTTTGTTGTTATATGATGGAAGGCTAAATTATTAACCAAGGAGAGATCCAGCGGACTGTTATTTCTTTTTGCTCGGTTTTCTTTTTCCATTAGAGTGCAATTTATCTATTTGTGCATGCATAAGATCTACAGATAGACAAAAGCTCCAGATTTGCCCAAGACACATTACAGTAAGTCCGGATATTACATCCACAAACACCTATGTCAGAATTAAAAATATTACAGGTTATCTGCGGGGTCTTAAAAGGTCTTTAAAAGTCCTTTAAAATTGCTAAATTCACTGAAATATTGTGTTGTAGATCTTAAATCATTTTAAACAGGGCTTAAGTTTTTTTATCTCCATGTAAAACTACTTAATGGGGCTAACATCCATGCAATCACATAACATTCCATCTCAACAAAAGTTTTAACACAAGCTTATTTATTAACTGTATTTACCTATAAGGTTTAGTTATCTTCTTTACAATAACATTTGTTTTTAAAGTTTTTGTAATGTTTTAACTGGGCTATTAGAAAAAAAATCCTTACTGTTTAGACTTGTGTAAGTCTAAGTCATTTAGTTCATAACGGTCCTAAAAAGGTCTTAAAAGTCTTACATTTGACTTGAAGAAACCTGTAGAAACCCTGTATTAGCAAAAGGCAGTCCAATACATAAAAAGGAACTAACTAACTAGAAAATATAACTGTTTCTGGGATTAATTACAATATATAATAATGTATTTGGGTAAAATTTCATTTTGCTTTCATTTTGTAAACTACTGATGACATTTCTTACTAATTAAAAATAAAAAGGTTGTCATTTATAGCACTTTTTATTCTTAGTCTCTTTATTAATCAGGAGTCGCCACAGCGGAATGAATTGCCGACTTATCCAGCATATTGTCACGACCTGTCTTCCTCGTGTGTTTGTTTTCCTCATGTGACCTTCACTATGTGCTCCTTTGTTCTAGTTCCCGCCATCATTATGTTCATGACTATCACCTGTGTCTCACCCCTGTGTTTAATCATTGTCATCATCCTGTGTGTATTTATAGTTTCGTGTTTCATTATGTCATTGTCCGGTATTCTCACTATGTCAATGTCTGGCTTCTCTCCATGATCTTCCTGTATTCATCCCCGTAAGTGTTGTAAATAAAAAAATAAAAAAATAATACACATGTTTTATGCAGCAGATGCCCTTCCAGCTGCAACCAAACACTGGGAAAATTTAGAGCATGTTGTGTTTCATAAAGTCAAGTCGAAGTCAGCTTTATTGCCAATTCAACCACATGTACAGGATGTACTGAGAATTGAAATTGCGTTACTCTCAGAGCTTAGGTGCCTAACTGATAATATTAATACAAAAAGTTGAATTACAATAAATACAATTACACACTTAATATAATTGAAAAATAAAACATTTGGAAATGATGCAATTACACTTTAGGGCACATGGCAAGACGTGCAAACCATGCATATTCAAAACAGTATATTGTGCAAAAAGCTTGTAAATATGATAAATAATAATAATAATTCCTTACATTTATATAGCGCTTTTCTGGGCACTCAAAGCGCTTTACACAATGGGGGGTAATCTCCTAATCCACCACCATTGTGCAGCATCCACCTGGATGACGCGACGGCAGCCACACCACACCACACACCAGCTGATTAGTGGAGAGGAAACAGAGTGATAAAGCCAATTATGATATGGGGAGGGTTAGGAGACCATGATGGGCAGAGGCCAGTGGGCAAATTCGGCCAGGATGCCAGGGTTAAACCCCTACTCTTTTTCTAAGGACATTCTGGGATTTTTAACGATCACAAGAGAGTTTGGACCTCGGTTTAACCTCTCATCCAAAAACGGCACTCACTGAGCAGTATAGAGTTGAGCGCTCCCTGCTGGCCTCACTAACACCACTGCCGGCAGCAACCTAGCTTTCCCATGTCTACCATCCAGGTACTGACCGGGCGCAGCCCTGCTTTGCTTCAGTGGGCAACCATGTAGGAGTTGCAGAGAGCTAGCTGCTGACCTTAATAATATGTTAATAATATACACTGACACTTTAAAATAAAAATAAAAAATAGACTTCACACTGCCAATGTTTTACTTTGGAAGAGTTAAGAAAGCGACAATTAGCATAATTACCTTAAATGACAATATTTTTTTATTTGAAATGTGTAGGCATTTTGATCAGACTTTTTTTATAACTTACCAAATATTATCATTACACCCAAACACATCCCTAATAAAGCCAGATACACTAAGAATTTCCAAATGCTCTTCATTTTTTTCCATAGCCATACATATTTAACAAAATAATTACTTCTTGAAATAGCATCACATGGCCTCTTAAACAGCCAGCCTCTACACTAATCCATTGGTGTACTATTTCCCGCTATGATTAAATTCTGCAAAGTAAATTGATAGCAATTCTGCCTATTTTGAAGAAAAACCACGTGCTCAGCAAATAACGCGGTATTACTTTCATCTCTTGTGCTTGCTTGCTCAAACAAATGCACTGACACAGCCTAACATCTGCAGTAGCTGATAAAAACCTCAATGAGTAAATAATGCTTCAATGTTTGTCTCTGACCGTCCCGCATTAGATTATCAGTGTGTATTTTATTGATGCACTGACAAAGCAAATTAGCATTAATAAACGCACAACATGGTGTGTGTTTCTCTCAATAATAAAGACATCAGCTTTGTGTTGGTACATGTGTAGCTTGCAATTTGATTAAGTGTAAGGGCTCAGATGTGTGCCTGTTTGATATAATAGATTTAAAACCCACCTGAAGGCGAAGGTGCCCAAGTGCCACATAATTCAGAGTATTAGATGGCTTAAAAGTGGTTATGCAGGACATCTATCAAAAAATATAGCCCATGATTTTGAGGGCTATGAAAATAAATAAAGACAGCTATTATTATGTGGGTTGAGTCACCTCTCCAAGCACCGCTCCTACTCCGATTTCTCATGATCTACAGAAGAAAGGATAATAAAAACCTGTTTTATGTTTTCCCCCTCATCTTTGTTTATTGTGTCTTAAACCAGAGTTTGGGAATGATTTGAATTCAACCTTGCAGATCATTCGAGTAGAGACTGCATTATTCATGTTTATTGATACATTTGTCTTTCTGTCTTCTCTGTTTATGAATTTAGGATGAGAAAAACCAGCTCATGACCACTAATGTATGGCTGTATGAGGTATGTAACCTGAAACATCACTGACAGTGTTTGAATATGCTGTATGCGGTAACATCCAAATTAATTAGTTGTATTGAAGTCAAAAATATTATTTCATGACTGAATCTGCAAAGACTGTGTAGACATTGTGCAATTGTAATGGTCATATGAGCTAGACATAGATCTTTAAGGTATATTTTTTAAGGCATTTGATATTCTGACCAATCTGCGTTACTTTAAAAGGCTGTTAAACCCCCTGTTTCAGCAGGGTGTTTTCACACCTCTAGTTTGAAAAAATTCAGGAAAATGGGTAAATCCAGCTTTATTTAGGTGGGAGTGTCAAGTGGCGAAAAAAGGGAGGGTTTGCATTAAAAGGGGAGTTTCAGTACATGCACTACAGCTGATTTTGACACCAGCAACTCAAACACAGATGCAGGGGAGCTAGACAGTGACTACGTTTACATGGACATCACTACTCAAATTATTAGCCTAAATCTGAATAAGACAATACCATGATGAAGGTGTTTAAATGTGTTGCTTTTTAAATGTTCCTTTCATGATCCTGTTTTACAAGTTATAGCACATAATTCGATTAACGCTATTGCATCACTGCGCTATCCACATTTCCTCTGGAGTTCCATGTAATTTCGTCTGTTTCCTCCTTAATTTGTTGACTTTATCTGCAGTTTGGCACTTTCACTTTCATTCAGGAACATTTAACGCTCGCCCCTTTCACAAACGAGATATTGGACGCAGGAATGAACTACTGGAAGAGGGTTGTTTTAATGGGATTTGATACTGCACACCATATGGGAAAAAACTTCTTTATTTCTTGGTAGATGCAGAGACTTAGTAGGTGCAGAGAATAGCGTCAAACAGCCGTGTGTCTATAGACTATGTTGTCACAAAATGCGAAGAAAATAATATGAGGCGGAAATCCTACATGACAAAAATAGTAACATACCGCTGTTAGAACTTAAATAATAAAATTTAATTTGTTATGAATTTGGCATGTTAAAGGCCCATGAAACTCCCCTGTCTCAGCAGGGTTTTCACACCTCTAGTTTAAAAAAGTCAGGAAAGTAGCTGAGTCCAGCTCTGTTTAGTTGAAAGTGTCGAGTGGTAAAAGAGGAAGGGGTTTGCATGAAAAGGGGAGTTTCAGTTCGAGGATGCAATGAATTCCACAGAGGCAAAACAACACACAGACGCAGAGGAGAAATACAGTGACAGTTTACATGGACATCAATAATCAAATTATTTGCCAAATTCTTAATTTGTCGACTTTAACTGCAGTTTGGCCCTTTCACTTTTATTCAGGAACATTTCATGAATGCCCCCCATGGCAAACAAGATATTGGATGTGAGGAACTGCTGGAAGAGTGTTGTTTTAATGAAATGTTTGTGACCGCATGACAAAAGGGAGAAAAAAAAACCTTCACATTTCTCTGTAACTTAGGTGCAATTGGTAGGTAGAGTCAGAAAGTCGTGTGTGTATAGAATATCACTTCACAAAATGCGGCGAAAATCCTACTCAATGGTAACAGTTTGATTAAGGTGTTTACACCTTAGGTAAGGTCTAGGGTATGTCTTTAAAAACTGAAAAAGTACTGCTGATGATAATAACTTTGCCTCTGAATAAACATAAACAAAAACTAATGATCACACACTTACCAAATCCGTAGAGACATGAAAAAATACACCAACTGAAACCATGTCTTTTTTTAAAAGAAGACGAGCGGCAAATGTGGATTTCACCATTTCCAGATGAGAAAAGCACTCTGCTAAAAAATGTCCCTTACAAACGTATTTTTACAAACGTTGCATGTTAGCAGACTACTGTAATCCATACATGTGGTCCACACGCAAGCCAGGCTGTCATCAGGGGGAAATGGAAACATAACCTTCGTTGCAGCACATTTATAAACGCAACATAATGACCCAGGTCTCAGAACAATTCTTCTACTACTTGTTTAAATTAAGGTTGGCAAAACATTGTGGCATCTCTCTGAACACTGTAACAGGTAAAAACATTCTTTGAAGCTATATCATGCATATTAATAAAGTTGCATCTCATTCACAATAGAGTGCGCTGATTGGTTTGAACCAAGTCTTTCTCATGAATCTCATTAATAAACAGATGTGCTGAAAATGCAATGACGTCACTTTGTACCGACTGGTACAGACATCCAATCTCCAAGCTGGATTTTACACAATGATCTCATCATCATGATGTAGCTTCAACATTTATTTTCAAACAAGAAGAACGAACTTGCTCTGAACAACGCAAAAACAACCAGATTTCACTTGTTAGCTAAATATATGTGTCCTAATAGTGTTTTTACCAACGTGAAACATATATATGACTGTCAGCATCTCAAAAACGTGTTTCAGGATCCTTTAAAAAAAACTTACAAATATAATTATGCTTAAATAATCATCAACATCAAACATCATCGAATAATCAATCTTATCTGGTTTATTGCAATTTCTGAGTATTTCACCTTGGTAACAACAACAACTGAAAATCAGTAAAAGCATAATTTGAGGAATAGGTAATGATCTGTTTTCTGTAAATGCTACCTGACAGTAGTAGTAGTGAAGTAATGGCAGATTTTTGTCATGATAAACTCATTATTATAATCTGGGTTTGCAGGAATGGCTGGATTATAAACTGCGCTGGAACCCTGAGAATTATGGTGGGATCACATTTATCAGAGTCCCGTCAGAGAGCATCTGGCTCCCAGACATCGTTTTATATGAAAAGTAAGTTTGTCTGTCAATCATATACAACAGCAGTTTATTATGAAAAACATTCAAGGGTCATGAAATCACAAGGCTGTTTCTTACCACAGTTCTGAAAAATGCTAAAAAACAACAAAAAAAAGTGGAATTTATCATGACTCTCATTGAGTTTAAAAATACTTTTCACAAATGCTTGCTGCAATTCACTTTACAGTAACAAAATAAACATATATAATTACATTTAATATAAATGATAAAAAATAACATACATGATATAAAAAGGGGAAGCACAGTGGCTTAGTGGTTAGCACTGTCGCCTCACAGCAAGAAGGTCGATGGTTTAAGTTCTGCCTGGGTCAGTTAGCATTTGTGTGGAGTTTGCATGTTCTCCCTGTGTTCATGTGCGTTTGCTCCGGGTGCTGTGGTTTCCACCACAGTCCAAAGACATGCACTATATAGGTGAATTAAATAAACTAAATTGTCCCTTGTGTTTGAGTGTGTGAATGAGTGTGTATGGGTTTTTCCCAGTACTGGGTTGCTGCTGAAAGGGTATTCGCTGTGTAAAACATATGCTGGAATAGTTGCCGGTTCATTCCACTGTGGCGACCTCTGAAATAGAGACTAAGCAGAAGGAAAATGAATGAATGAATGAATTGTAGTGTTCCATTTAGTTGTGTTAATATCCATTTAATGTTTTTGCGACTATTTAAAATGTTATTTAAACTGTCCATTTAAGCTTGTTTTTTTTTTGTTTTTTTTTACGTTTATGTTCCATAATGGCAAAACATTCTGCTAACATTTTTGGATGAATGTTTACTGTTAGCTAGACCATTTAAAGCACATACAAAAAACATATACGGACAGTTCAACCAGAACAAGAAAATTCTGTGTAATTTTTTTTTTGTGAAAACTGATGCATTTTTTCAGGACTCTAGTGAAATATTACATTACAAATGTTTTACTTTTGAACAGTTTACTGCACAGTTAAATGTAAAATTATTAGCCCTGATGTGAAATTGTTATTCTTATAAAAATATTTCCCAGGTGATGTAAAATATGTCCCAAGTGACATTATGAAAGTGAAGTATATTGGTAAGCAGCAGCCACAGACATCTAAAATATATATTTTTCTACTATGAATGTCAACGGCTGCTGGTTTCAAACACTCATGGGAATATTCGTATTTGTGTTTAACAGAAGAAAGAAATTCCTAAAACCACTTGAGTGTGAGTAAATGTTCATTTTTGGGTGAACGACCCCTTTTAATTTGAAGTAATGCAAACTATTTAAAACAGGGGTGTCCAATCAGACACACCTGGGTTAGCTAATCAAGCTTACTAGGCTTTCTAGAAGCATCCTTGCAAGTTGGAGCCAAAATTGGCAGGACACTGGCCGTCCAGACCTGGTTAAAATAGATAATGGAGTTTATATAACATGTGAAGTCCTTCATGACTCTTTAACAGTATCACTTGCCTGCTTGTAGCGCAGACGGACGTTTTGAAGGCTCGATCATGACCAAAGCCATCGTGAGATACAATGGCCTGATCACCTGGACTCCTCCCGCCAGCTACAAATCTGCCTGCACCATGGACGTGACCTTCTTCCCGTTCGATCGGCAGAACTGCTCCATGAAGTTCGGCTCCTGGACCTACGATGGAAACATGGTGGAGCTAGTCCTTGTTAACCATCAGGTGGACCGAAGCGACTTCTTTGACAATGGCGAATGGGAGATTCTCAGCGCGACAGGGCACAAAGGCAGCCGACGGGACGGTCATTACTCCTACCCCTACATCACATACTCATTCATCCTAAAGCGCCTTCCTCTTTTCTACACGCTCTTTCTTATCATCCCGTGTCTGGGTTTGTCTTTCCTGACCGTTCTGGTTTTCTACCTTCCCTCGGACGAAGGAGAAAAAGTCTCTCTATCCACCTCCGTCCTGGTGTCGCTCACCGTCTTCCTTCTCGTCATCGAAGAAATCATTCCGTCTTCCTCTAAAGTGATCCCTCTGATCGGAGAGTATCTGCTTTTCATCATGATCTTCGTGACACTCTCCATCATCGTGACGGTGTTTGTTATTAACGTTCACCATCGCTCTTCAGCCACGTATCATCCCATGTCTCCGTGGGTTCGTACTCTGTTCCTCCAGCGGCTGCCGGATTTGCTGTGTATGAGGGGAAACACCGACCGCTACCATTACCCGCAGATGGAGCCCCAGAGCCCTGATCTGAAGCCCAGGAGCAAGAAAGGGCCACCTGGGCCTGAAGGAGACGGTCAGGCGCTGATCAACATGCTGGAGCAGGCCACTAACTCTGTGCGCTACATCTCACGGCATATCAAGAAGGAGCATTTTATTAGAGAGGTAAGAACTGGTTGAGACGTGCTAAGATGAAGGTAAAGGAAAGTGTTGAATGCATAATTTGAATGCATTTATCCATCCATGTCAATCTATCTGTCTACCTATGTTCATCCATCCATTCATCGATGTCAATCTATCTGTCTACCTATATCCATCCATCCATCCATCCATCCATCCATCCATCCATCCATCCATCCATCCATCCATCCATCCATCCTAATTTCTATCTATCTGTCTGTCTGTCTGTCTGTCTGTCTGTCTGTCTGTCTGTCTGTCTGTCTGTCTGTCTGTCTGTCTGTCTATCTGTCTGTCTATCTATCTATCAATATCCCTAGCCGTCTATCTATCTATCCGTCCGTCTGTCCGTCCGTCTGTCCATCCATCCATCCATCCATCCATCCATCCAATCATGGATTTTATCCAGCAAATAAATTCTTCCATATCAGCTTAAAGGTATTCAGTAATTTTTGTTCAGTTTCAAAAAACAACAAAAAAAACAAAAAAAAAAAATGGAACAAAATATGAATCAATATTTTATGATTAATAAATGTTTTAAGCATCAGATCAGTAAAAAAATCAAAGTATCTAAAAGTTATTTCAAGGACATGAACATTAAATATTTTTTCATTGAACTTTTTTTTATAGTAGAATTTGTCATATATTTTGCCATTTTGAACTACTGGTCAAAAAATTGGGGTAAGTTTTATTTATAATAAATATTTATTATAAATAAAATGTTTTAATATATATTCTTATAATATATATATATATATATAATATATTCTATTCCTTTTCTTTTTCTTTTTTTTGATAAATACAACTTTGGTGAGCAGGATAAACTTATTTTAAAACGTTTAAAAATCCTACTGACCCCAAACTTTTGACTGGTAGTATATAGATACTCTAAATAAAATACCTAATAATTGTATTAATTAAAATACCCAAGAATATGCTGGATTTACTAAATATGGGTTAGAGTAAATGTAAATATTTTTTTATTCTAGAAAGGTTTGATAACATTTTTTTCCAGACAGATTTATTTATTTACTTTTTGGGACATTTGTTTATATTTTTGACAGTTGGTTGGAATAACACATAATGAATAATAAACACACAATAGTAAATTGTAAATCCAGAGAAGCTCTAGAATTTTCCATTATGTACTGTTCACTAATAATATATGTAGTTCAATGTAGTTTAGCTATAAAGACTGAAGATATTGCTGTGATTTGTCTTTCACAGGTTGTACAGGACTGGAAGTTTGTAGCTCAGGTTCTGGACAGGATTTTTTTGTGGGCTTTCCTCACCGTCTCTGTGCTCGGCACCATCCTGATCTTCACTCCTGCGGTGAAGATGTTTCTGAGCACTCCTCCACCTCCGTCTCCTTAACACTCATCCACCAAAATCAGCAATCAAGACCTGAATACTGTACTTACAGTAACATACACACAGCACTCAGTATTAGGTAGACCTTCTTTCACTACTTTGAGATATATATAAAATGTATTATTATTATTATTATTATTATTATTTGTTGATTGTTAGGTCTGTCTTTTTTACACATATTTCCTAAACAACTTTTAGCAATTACTTGCACATACAAAATGCAGTAAAAGTAACAGTGTACAAATCATTCCAGAATTGCGGGTACATTGAAAACATTTTGCATTTATTTTTCTTGACTGGAATGACATAAAGCATACAAATAATGAACAGTAAATGTAATACAATAGCTAATTGTTGTTTAACTTATAACAAGCTCATATTATATAATTGTTTTTAAATAAAAACAGAAGTGAATGAGAGATTCACTAAAATATCACAAAACAAAGTTCATGTAACTGAAGACAGAAAAGAAGATATAAAGAATTTAGTACACTGTTAACTGACATCCATGGTAGTAAAAACAGATACAACATTTTTCATAAAATCTTTTGTGCACACAGGAAAGAAAATGGTTTGGAACCAGTCAAGTATGTGTAAATAATAGCAAAATGTTAATTTTAGTGAACTATCCCTTTAAGGAGACAAGTGGATGCAGACAATAAGATGTGAATCATCAGCAGGAAGAATGAGTGAATTGTTGGATCCTGACACAGGTTCAGTTTATGCCAATGTGTGCAGAAACATTTCATCACTGCAAACTCAAATATCCAAACGTCAGGTTTAGATGTAAATGAGCTGTAACGTTTTGCCAATATGCAACTTCTCAATGTGCAGAAAGCTATGCAGTAACAATGTTTTGTTATGAATGCCGAGTCCCGTAACTATAGCTAACTTGTACCTCCATAGTTTATTAAAAACGTGCAAATGAAATCTTGCTCCTGGCAGTCACATTTTATTTTACACCAGGATCAGAGTGATTCTTCTTCTTCTTAATTTTTTTTTTGTTGATGATGGAAATATAAATCTTTAGGCCCTGTTATTATTAATTTATATTTGATTCATATTGTGTTTTTAGTTTTACATTTCATTCGTTTTTTTGTAATGTTTCTTTGCAATATTATTAAATAAATAAAATGTCACATATAGAGTATATTGTTGTCATAAAATAAAATGCTCTCTTAGGATTTGTCAAATCGCCAGTCCCTTCATAACACTAAGTCTGTCATCCAACAAGCAAACAAGATTTGTGATATATTTCAAGATGGTATTACTGTAGAAATATAGCAAATCTATATTCAGTTTTGTTCATCAAACATGTAAATTAGAAAGTAGGGTATACTGTATAGTATATTGAGTTTAGCTTGTGTTTGGTAAATCCTGTCATCTGAAACATGGTCAGTGAATGCACTTTGTGTGAAAGCCGTAATAAATGATCCACAGTTTCGCTCATATATAGACTGTTCTTGTTTTCGCAGTGCAAAGTATTGAGAAGGTGTTAAAAAATAAAAATGTAAGTATATATTGTCTTGTAGTGATACAACAGGACTGAGGACAGTTTGTAGTTAATAGCATTTATTTATGAACATCAACCAAATAAAAGTATGTGTAGAGGGAAAAAAATGCATCTGCATAAAAGAATTGTAAAAAAAAACTGTACAGCATCCTGTTAATCTTTGAGAAGACTCGTCTCCGTCTGCTCGACACTTCTCCATTGCTTCTTAAACTTCCTTCTGTTTGGCACACGCTCCACACGTCAAGCACTCAAACTGAGAAACAACACAATTAACAGCAACTCTAAACACTAAATGCCCTTTCATTATCAGCATGTACACAGGAATTATGGAGGTAAAGTGAATAGCTTTCAGGAGCATTGTAATATACATTTCCATTCATTAAGACCTCATCGCCAGTTTTATCTAGTGACTATTTAACTTAAATTCACTATTCATTTATTGCAAGACTACAACTAAACAGTCTTAGTTGTACTCTGAGTTTGATTAATTAAAAAGGGCAAATTCACAATCGATCTTTTTTGTTTAGTGGAGACACACTTTATTTTACTCCCAAACAATGAATGAAAAAAGTTAGTATGATGCATATCTGTGTCTGTAAATCTATCTGTGATATAATGCAGCAGTTAGAGAGGATGGAGATGATAACAAAACCAGTAGGATTGCAGAAATAAACTACATAGAAGAGCAAAGATTGCAATGATTAATCTCACTTTAATAAAATCTTTAAATGAGCAATATCACACGAGTATCAGTGCGATATGGCTGTATATCGCACTGCTGAGTGTGATATTGCATTTATACAACAGCTAGACAGCATAATTGCGTATATAAAAAAAAAAAAAAACCACGGAGAGTCTAAATCCCTATTGTACGAGGAACTACTTTCTTCCGCCATTCATTCACATCTGCAGCTGACATCAGAATAGCAGAAACCATTGCTAACACACTTTAAAACTAGAGCTTGATTCTCTATCACAATAATTAACCCAAAAAAGCCAAAGCAAACCAAACACTAGCAGATTACTATGTTATAAATATAGCACTACAACATACAAAAGAGTGAGAGAATGACTTAGAATGTCTCTTACCAGTTGAATAATAATTTGATCTGCTGTAGTTTGCAATACGAAAAGAAAGCGCTTAGTTTTTCTCTCCTAAGGACTTATTATATGCTGTCGCCATCTTGTGGTGCAACCGTCTTTGTTCTGTTCACTATAACAGGCTGATGGCTGCCGATCTCCGAAATCATAAATATTTAAAATAGGCACTATCCTTATAAAGAAACTGCATAGTTGCAATCTAAACAACTCCATTCTCTCCTTACAAGTCTGTTAGTCTATTAATCTGCTGTAACTATGTGGGCGGAGTAATACACAAGAGTGAGGAGGCTGTATGAGTGCTGTTAGTGCAGAATATCTCACAGCTATCGGCCGATAATTCGAGAACTGGACAGAACTGTTGTATAAAATAAATACATCATCAAAATATTCTACCAAATGTAACACCTCAGGAAACATCACTTAATATTTTTAAGACACCCTGAATAAATACAATGCAAAATACACTAATCAATCAATTCTTTTCCTTCAGGTTAATACAAGAAAATGTTTATGTTTGCAGAAGTGATATTTGCACATTACCTTCCACAACAGGTAGAAGAGCAAAGCTAGTAAAAGCAGAGCGGTCACGACGCTGAGAAGAATGAGCCACCATGGCACTCGGCTGAGCAGAGCAGGTCTTCTCTCTGCAAAAACTGTCAGCTTCACCTGCAGCAGACACACACACACACACACACACACACACACACACACACACACACACACACACACACACACACACACACACACACACACACGCATATCATTCAGGTACTTTCACCAAAACATTACACACAGTGTTTCTAAGGCGAGGCAGTGGCGCAGTAGGTAGAGCTGTTGCCTTACAGCAAGAAGGTCGCTGGTTCGAGTTGGCATTTCTGTGTGGAGTTTGCATGTTCTCCCTGCCTTCGCGTGGGTTTCCTCCGGGTGCTCCGGTTTCCCCCACAGTCCAAAGACATGCGGTACAGGTGAATTGGGTTGGCTAAATTGTCCGTAGTGTATGAGTGTGTGTGTGAATGTGTGTGTGTATGTTTCCCAGAGATGGGTTGCGGCTGGAAGGGCATCCGCTGAATAAGTTGCTGAATAAACTTGCTGAATAAGTTGCTGGTTCATTCCGCTGTGGTGACCCCGGATTAATAAAGGGACTAAGCCGACAAGAAAATTAATGAACAGTGTTTCTATATAAAAATGGATTATCTGTTATTAACCTTAGTGTCTGATGGCTGCATTCCAATATTCCCTTGAGTCCCATTAAGGGTCAAAGATGCATTCAATATGATGTCCAAGTAGTTCAATGAGCTGTATTCCTGCAAAAGAAGACACAGTCAATAATCATGTGGTTATATTAGTTTTCGCTTTTGGTACATTTCTCAGATTAGAATTGAAATTTGCAAAACATTGTGTCTCTCAAAACAACGCATACATATAGCAGGGATTGCCTGCAAAAGCCAGTCTCTTCCTCAAAATCTATTCACTGTTCATCTCTAAATTTCAAATGTCAGTGAACTAAATTTCAGTGTCAATAAATGTGTCAGCACTGTCAGAATGATAAGTCATTGTGTGGCAGTCAAATGATTTATGCCGTGTTCAGACTGCATGATTTCCAAAGTCGTTGTGTCACAGATGTTTTCACACTGCATGACTATCTAGGCTAGCGTTTCATCGCTGCTTTGTTTACACTGCAAAATGGATCGGCGACAGGGGGTTTCACACTGCATGACTTTAAAACACGAAGAATCGCCGACAACTTTGTCCAAACTACATCTCACAACCAAACACAAGTGAGAAGTGACAAAGAAACGACGCTAGGTCATGTAGTATTTCTTTTCTTATTAACTACATAATGAGAAAGAAGCCAAATTTCCACTAGTTTTTCTTCCATTTCTTGGGTCCAGATAGTTTGAAAAGAAGCACTTTTAGTTTCTCCCCCAACCTACCGCTGACCTGCAGATACCGGTACCTAGTGGATACTGCTCTCTCATTGGTTGAAGGTGATCACTGATGTTATTTTCAATCAGAACACGTCACGTGGCATGATTTGACTCACCGACAGCTCCAGATATTTAACATGCCAAATATCTCACGGACTCATCTGCGATTCTCATCGGCGATTCTCTCAGATCACACTGTGTGATTGTAAATGTGAACGAGCACTGATTTGTCTGTGATTTCAGGCATTTGTCTGTGATTTCTCAAAACCTGTCAGTGAGTCAAAATCGGGGCTAAAATCATGCAGTCTGAACTCTGTTTTAGTCAAATTGTGAGTATGTACTCTGGGGGACTCTTCTGATGTAAACTATGGCTAATTCATTTACTTTTGGTCTTTTTGCCTTAATTAGATGGGACAGTAATTAGACTGGAAGTAAAGTGGGAATAAGAGAGGGGGGTAAGTTCGAGAATCGGGTTTTTGGGTTACCAAAGCCACTGAGAGAAAAAAAAAGTAAAAAAAAATGCATGTGAAGCCTGTCTAGGACACAGGATAAAGAAATTAAATAAATAAAAACAGTAAGAGAGCATTTTTTAGCTCGTAATTAATTTTTTTCCCACCCATATTTCTATTGTGCACAATTTAGATTGTTTTTTGTATAATAATTGACTAATATGCAGATTTTTTTATATGTATAATGTCAAATGTGCCCGATATAACACAATTGTCTAATTATATATCACAATTCTCAGGAAAATGTCAGAATTGTGATATATTACAGCCTGATCTCATGAGGAAACGCAAGCATTTTACTTTTTGTCAGTTTAGTGGCTAATTTGTACGAATTTGTACGAGTTCAGTCATACCAAAGTGCTTAGAATGACCAAGAGGCGACACTCAATAGACTGTTCTATTGCAACAGTAGCGCCCAGCAACTGCCCCGGATTCTGCCATTTTGGAGTGAAAGCGGTCGGCTGTCCATTTGATCTTATTGCTGTCGCGATGGCAAGCAGCTGCTTTGTTTTTTTATAGATTTATTTAAAAATTGCATTAAAGCTGAGATACAACCTGAAAGACGACAATACAACATTTACTATCTCAATCATAAGCACGTTTAATAGTTTATTTTACTGTTTTATAATTTGCTGTTGTTCTATTGGAATTTTAATTCCAAAATGGCTTGCCGCGTTATCTAGTGGCTGTTTCCCAAATCGCACTAGAGTGTTGCCTCTGGGTAATTCTATGATTTTTTGTGTAAGACAATGTAAAATATTAAAAAGAAGGCGTGGTACCCAACCCCACCCCTAACCCCAACCATCATCGGGTGATAAGCAAATCGTACTAAATTGTACTAATTAGATCATACAAATTCATACGAATTAGCCACTAAATCAAAAAGTTACGAACTGCCATGAACACTCAGGGGTGGACTTAGTGATTTGGGGGCACTAAGCAATTCCAGGTGTGGGGCCCAAGCATTAAAACTCAAAACACTCTACTTATCTATAGGTTTGTTTTTATGTAAATAAACTGCATGGTCAAATATTTTGTGGAAACCTTATCTTAATGTAAAATTAAATACAGTAAATTCTCAAAAAAAAAAAAAAGTTTACAAACTAACTATATAACAGTCAAATAGCCATTTTTGTGATTAGACTTAGGGAAAGTTCCACTATTCATGGGGCCCCGGATTTGAAAGGAATTAATATATAGCATTAAAGTCTTAATGATTATAGACAGGTTTTACAACATATGATAGAATATTTATAAAAGAGCTATATGATTAATATAGGCTTCCAGGCAATGGTCGGGCTCACTAATTCCCTGGGGCCCTAAAGTGGCTGCTTACCTCGCTTATTGTTTATTGCCACCTCTGCCAACACTGACAAATCTAGTTTATGTTCTTGATTTCTACTAAGTGATCTTGCAAGTGAACTTCAAGTGAAATGATTTCCCTTTATTGTTGAGATTTTACTTTTACGTGAAATAAAAAAGCAACTGTACCTGAAGAAAGGTGTTGTTCCATAAGCGCGCATGCAGCAGGATGACTGCGCTGCTGTCCAGCGCCTCTAGAGGGCACCGCAGCTCCACACAGCTCAACTCATCTGCGCACGTCTGGAAGAATCAGCGAATCAAAAAGAACTTCATGCACAGGTAGGTACGTTTGTTTACACATGTGACACGAGGAGTTTGTTTTCGTAACAGTCGTTTTCAAAGTATCACAGCAACAGGAAAAAAAACAGATAATAAAGGAATAAAAAGAGTAGTAGATAGAGAATAAAAATACACAAATTGACAAATAGAGGTAGGCTACATTACTAGATATGTACAGCTATCAGACCACCTAGTTTTTTTGTGACAAAAGGACAAATTTTGTGGTGGTAATTACCATAAATTTGCGGAAAATTTTGCAATTAAAACAAAATATATAGAAAGCTAACAAATTATATATTTATTACAGTGTGTGCAAATTGAAATGTAAACTAAGCATGTTGTTAAATTAATAAGTGCATGTGGGTGTGTAAATAGTTTTGTTTGCTCTAGAAAAAGGGAAAGAGTGAGAGAGATAAAAACATACATTTCAAAGAGCTTGACAAACAAAAGTCAGATAAAGGTAGGGGAACAGAGCGGGGAACAAAGTAACACTTTTTGGTGTTGGTAAAATATTGAACAAAGTAATAGGGTTAGACAAACTATATATTTTTACCAACAACACAAAAGCCTCTCCTGCAAATGAGCACTAGTTGTATGATCGCCGGACCTTTGGTTTATGTGCAGTATTGCCAAAAGTGCCAGGAGTAAAAATGTTACTATTTACCCCACCTGCGGGGCAAGTTGTAATAGAGGGTTAGTTGTAACATGTGCTTAAAAATGCAGATTACACATTTAAATCCAGTTTACTTTAAATAGTAGCTATATTTCCTCAGTAGTTGGCACATTTTTTTTATTCTACATAGCACAGCATGTTTATTTATTTATTTATTGGATGAACACATTTGGATTTATTTGAATTATTATCCATTATTATACAATGCATTTACTTGCAGTATTAGCAACAACATCATTATTTTTTATTAAAAAATATTTTTTATATTTTTTATTAAAAACATTTTATAATTCACTCATAATTCCAAAATTATTTTGTTTGTTTAGTTGGTGTCCTACACCCTGTTACAACTAACCCCGCTGTGTCATGTTTTTCTTAAAACTGGCTAGCAGTCACTGTGAGTTTTTTACATCTTTTAAAATGGTTTCATCTTTTAGCCTAGTAGACGGTAATCACAACAATATAAGATGTTTCCTACATACTGTAACAGATTAAAAAAATAATAATAAAACACAGACTTTAATAAAAAATAGTATTATGCTGCAAAAATGGTTTCTTCTGTGTTTCTCATCCAAATCTCGCCAAACTTTTTCAATAATTGGCAGGAAGACGTCTGCCGACACTGTGGTGAAAACCTTGATTAACCCTGAGCAAATATTAAAAACTCTGTTACATTTTACCCTGCGTTACTTTGTGCCCCGCGCTCTCCCCTAGTTCACCCAAAAATGTCAATTTACTCCACATCTTTGAGTTCCTTTGTTTTGTTAAATATTAAATGAGGTATTTTGAATAATGCTAAAAACCTGTAACCACTGACTTCCATAGTGTTTGTTTTCTCTACTATGGAAGTCAATGGTTCCACCTTTCTTCAAAAGATCTTCTTTGGTGTTCAACAGAAGAAATAAAATCATAAAGGTTTTGAACCACTTGAGTGAGAATAAATAGTAAGTACATTTATTTGAACTATCCCTTTAAATGCCTTTTTACATGTTGTAGAGACAGAAAGTTTAATTTACCAGGGTTTTATACTTTCTTTTGTTGCCCAGAAAGGGGAAAAAATCAGAAGTGGAGGCAAGAGCCTTCAAGCCGGATTCACGCTCCAGTTCCCGCTTTCCTCTGGATGAAGCCTGAGGTGTGAACACAGAACATTACTGACCTCTTACACAGAGTTTAAAGGATTTATATCAAATACAGACAGCTGCAAAGCAGAAAAGTTGGTCAATCATTGATAGATTTTACATGTAGGCTAGTCTCTAATATTCGCTCTTCTAGCGGTTGGTAAAAACTCCACGTGTCTCTTTGAAGAATATTGTTTTGGTTGTGAGATTTGGCCCTGCTCAGATTACTGTTTCACAGAATCCATGTACGCTGAGATTTATAACAGACGTCATCCCGTCGGGTTAAGTTTATAGTTATCAGTAATTAACAAAACCCATAGTGACGTATAACATACAGTGGGGGAAATAAGTATTGAACATGTCATGTTTTTTTTTTTTTTTCCTGGGAATAATATTTCTAAAGAAGCTGCTGACATGGAATTGAACCAGGTTTTGGTAAAAACCCAAAGAATACAAACATAAAAATAAAACAAAACCTAAACAAATCTGACGAATGAGTTATGTGTAATATTTAAGGCTTTCTTGATGTTGACAGCTTCTCTGGAGAATGAAGTCACATGAATTGCTCAGGCATGGCTTTAACAGAGTTTAAAACTCTTGATGGTTCTGTGGGTTAAATCTGAGCTTTAATTTGTATTTTTGTATTTTCTATTGGATTGAAGTCAGGTGATTGGCTGGGCCATTCTACAGCTTAGTTTTCTTTCTCTGAAAGAATTTGAGAGTTTCCTTGGCTGTGTTTTGGATCATTGTCTTGCTGAAATGTCCACCCTCATCTTCATCATCCTGATTAGATGTTGGACTAAAGCAGCTAATATTAATGTACAATATTGAAGGGCAGAGGGTTACTGAATAAGTACTGAGAAATGTCAGCTGCTGTCTGGGCTTTCACTGCCTTTCTACAATTCCCTTTCTTCATTGTGTTCAATGCTTTTATCCCTGCATAATTTTATTTTATGATACATAACTTAATTTGTAAACTAATTAGCTTTGTTTGCTTTGCATATATGGATTTCTTTGGTTGTTTCAAGTCAACAGCACCTTTAGAAATATGTTTTCTGAGAAAAATGGTGACGTGTACAACATTTATATGCACACTGTATAAAAAGTTGACAAGGTGTCACAAAAGGTTTTACTGAAGTAGGAGTGATAATTTCTTGGCATATAGAATACCATTTGAAGCAATCAGGAAATTGCCTTCTAAAATGAGCATTTTTTTTTCTCTGGCTCCTTAGTGTATGTTCAGTATTTTTAAGTTTTTTATGGCACAGAATAGGTTAAATTCATTGCCTTTAACTGAATGTAATCATTGGAGGCTGAGACAAATGTTTTAGAAGAAGATTTAATGAACTCTTCATTTGAAAACTATAGTTTTACTACAATTAACATGGTTAATTTGGTTAGTGTAGTAAAACCTGCTTAATTTTGTAAGGTGACATCCAAAGCATAAACTCAGGATGGAAATCGGACTGCTGAAAAATCTGAAACAAATCACTTCATCTGTCAATAAAATAATTTGTTCTATTCCTGAAAATAAAATACAGCACATCACTACATTAATATAATCACTACTATAAAGCTCTGTTTTAAAAAAGAAGTATCTCTAGGTTGGTCTTAAATAGATAATAGCCAAGCCATTTCTGAACACTCTCTGCTCTTTTTTTAGTTTTTGAAATTGAGGAATTTGCCATGGTCAGTATTTCTTAATCATTGACAACTATGCAATTTAGTGAAAATCCCACGGACTAAAATAAAGCACTAATTATATCATAGTGTTTCAGGGTGGACACACTTTTCTTTGTACATTTTGAACACATTTACAGCTGTATACTCGATTGAGAATTTACCATGTTAAATCTGAGTGTGTTGATAGCCTCTGACGGAGTGCAGTGAATGATGTTTTTTCCTCGATCAGTGATCTGCATCAGGTACAGCAGCCGTTTTCCTGCTTTAGTCGCTTTTGGCCACTGAATATTCAGCACAGCAGAACCGAAGGACTTCAGAGGCCGACCGATGTTAAAAATCTGACTCCAGAAATGCAAAAATCAACAACATTCAGTGAGTATTTCAATAATATATATACTGTACATTAGGACATCAATCCGGTAGCTCTATTACTGAAAACTGAGAAAGATATTTGACATTCATAGACTTTTATCACAATCATTCATTTGGTATAAGGGTTTAAATGCATTACATAAATGTTAATGAAGCATTAGTTTTAAGGCGACAGAGATACCAACCCTAAACTCATATTGGACCAAAGAGCCAACATCATCTTCTGCTTTCATGGCTCTCTCATCTTTCACTTCTCCTCCAAAGAACAACTGGGAAGGTTTAGCAAGACTAAAATACATCAGAAAATCATAACTTTAAAATCACAAGTTTTATTAATGCTTGCGCATCAACAACTTAAAGTTAGAATGTCTTTTATTCTGCAAATCAAAAGAATGAGGGATACCTTTTATGAATATAACGTTTAAAAGAACAGCATTAAAAAAAATAGTACTCCTCAGTACCAATATAAATGACTTTAAAAATGCCTCATTTTTATGCATCCTTGCAAAATGACTATAATAATATCAGTAATAATATCTTACTGCTAACCAGTTTATATTTATGTTCAAGAATTAAAAGTCTTACCCAATGATATTTAGATGCAGTTCAAATATAATTTTGGCTTCCGCAACAACTATTGGGACATCTTGAATGCTGATCCTGCAGTAAAAAAGGTTAATTAAAAACAACAAACAGCTTGTGTATCCACTCTCCTTGTAATAAATGTTAATAATACTTCTGTAGTTATTTAGTTAATTATTTTATGTTTAACTGTAACGAATATAATTTTCATACGTTTTAAGGGCCAAAGTCACATTAGCAGCAGTTACTCTTAGGGAAAGTTTTTCTGTGTTCAGCATCAGGAAGAATGAAACCTGTGAGGAAACGACCCTGGATTAGGAGGCTGAAAGATCTTATTATTGACTGAAAATATGTTTAATGGTCTGAAAATGAAAAGTTCTCAAACCTCTGCGTCTCTTTTCAAAGGATTTCCAAGTTGGCAGTCGGCCTGTGTTCTATTCTCATTGGGGTTACACTGCACCTGGGTAACCTGCACAACATAAAAAGTAATCTGAGGACACCTATATATATATATATGTGACCATGCGCTTTAAAAAATATCCTTTTATGAGCAGTTTAAGTATTTTGTGAGTCGCAGGTGTTTTCTGTTTATTTATGATTGTGAATTGCAATATGGGATGTTGATCTCTGCACTTTTGATTTTGAAAATTCGACTTTACAGTTTAACATAGTTACTTTTATTGACATTTCAGTGGCTTGAAATAATATAATTTCTTAGAAATAATATATAGAGACATACGCCTGTAACAGAAAATGTACTGGCAGTTTATTACAAGGTTTTTGTAGCGTAATATACAACACCAACCCAGACAATATATCAATGTAAACTATTAAAAATGTTAATAAAATTACTTTTTCAAACTATTCAAGTTGTTGGAAGAAAGATCAAGGTCCCATATTGCAATTCAAAAGCATTAATAAACGGGGAAAAATAAAAATAATAATAAGAATCGCAAAAAACTTATTTTACTAAAATGTACTAAACTATTAATTTACAGATTTGTTTTTTTACAGTGTGGAGCACAAAAAAACAACCTCTGTGCACAGGTGTAATTTCGGCAATAGCTGAAAATACATTGAATGAGTCAAAATTATGTTTATGTCAAAAATAATTAGAATATTAAGTAAACAGCAAGTTTCTTGAAGAAATGTTGTACTGTAGATGTATCAACTTAATATTTTGATTAGTCATATGCATTGTTTAAAACTTAATTTGAACATTCAGCACTATGTTGGACAAATACTTTATTTTTACTATATACTTTACTGCTACTTACAAACCGTACATCAGTGGAAAGATTATTCAGATAATAAATATCAATTTCCAAAGAAATTACCCTTATGACTAGTTTTATGGTCAAATGCAAAATGCAAATTTGGGTGGCGCAACGGGTAGGCTGTTGCCTTACAGCAAGAAGGTCGCTGGTTCGAGCCTCAGCTGGGTCAGTTGGCATTTCTGTGTGGAGTTTGCATGTTCTCCCCATGTTGCTGTGGGTTTTCTTTTGGTGCTCCTGTTTCCCCCACAGTGCCTCACAGCACAAGACATGCGATATATGAATTTAACTAAACTGGCCGTAGTGGATATGTGTGGGTGTTTATGGGTGTTTCCCAGTACTTGGTTGTAGCTGAAAGGGCATCTGCCATGGAAAACATTCGCAGGATAAGTTGGTGGTTCATTCCACTGTGGCGACCCCTGATGACTAAGCTGAAGGAAATTAAATGAATAATTAATAAATGTATTTTATTAATAAGTGAATATGTAGGCACATACATTTCTTTCATTCATTTTCTTTTCGGCTTAGTCCCTTTATTAATCAGGGGTCGACACAGTGGAATGAACCGCCAATTTATCCAGCATATGTTTTACTTAGTGGATGACTGGGAAACCCCCATACACTCTCATCCACACATACACACTCATACACTACAGACAATTTAGCTTACCCAATTCACCTATACCGCATGTCTTTGGACTCGTGGGGGAAACCGGAGCACCAGAGGAAACCCACGAAAAAACACGGCGAGAACATGCAAACTCCACACAGAAATGCCAACCGACCCAGCTGGGGTTGAACCAACGACTTGAACCAGGTAATTGTGCAACCCACTGTGCCACCGTGTTGCGTACATACATTTATCATTAATAAATATACAAAGAACAACTGGATATTTTATTACAATATAAGTGTTATTTGATCTTGGATGGATTTAAACCTATTGTAGGAAGCCTCCAAAACCTAATTACTATATTAGTAATAAGTTTGAAAAAACATCTATAAAAATCTGACTTAGAAAATTGAGATGTCTTTAATTTCAGATGTTTAATTTTTTAGAAGTTCAAATTCAAAACTATTTTTAAAGGCATATAATATTCAGTTTTACTTACTGTAATTACAATTGTTAATAATTCAAATGAACAAAATTCAATTTCAGATTGTTTTGGCATATTTTAAGCTCCATAATAAACAAATGGACTAACTTTAAATCCACTGCTAATTTTGAGTGCACAAGTCTAGGCCTGAATATGATAGTCCTACTAAACACCTGCAGTGGGTAATATTACAAATGTGTCTTAAAAAAAGGAGCAGAACACAATCAGACTTGTTGCAACAAACATTGATCATCAAGAATGATACAAAGATACGATAAATTCAGCTAAATAAGAGACTCACGCTATTCTTCTTCGGCACGACTGATGTTAAATGCAAAACTTCTGGAAACATCACATAGAGTTGAGTGTGATGGGCATCATCTCCTCCTGTGTTGGTGACTGTGACCTCCAGGGCAATGTTCACATCACCAGGCGAAATTACAGGAACACCGTTTTCCCTTTAATACAGACACAAATAAAACACTGAGATTCAGTAATGCCAAAGAATGTCTATATTACAGCAAATATGTTCCAAATATACAGATATTGAAGAATAAGGAGACCACATAAAAAACGGTTAGAATTTACAGTTTATAGTGTTTTACTATTATATCACATAAAAGTAATATGACATTTCTTCCAAATTTCTAATTTAATTGTTTTTGATAATAAATGTTTTACAATTTTTTTTGCTTAAAAGGTGCAATATATAAAAGAAATCTATATTTGGTGAAATAATTCTGATTTTCAAACATAACCTTAATTTATTATATATTTATTATTTTTTAACATTTATTAATCTGACTAATTGTTATTTTCTTAAAAAGAAAGCATTAAATTACAATATTTTTGTTTGAAATCGACAAGAAATGTTTTCAGATCTTATTAGAATAAAATAAATATTAACATGATCTTACTCAAACCCACACCTAATACTGGATAAATAATTTTTTTTTAAAGTAGTCTCTTAATTTTGTCAACGCCTATAAAATAACAGTGGAAAATGATTATTACTTGATGAATTTAATTGACTGTCAGGCTTAAAACTTCAGATTTGTCAGTACATGTTTTGCAGTTAGCAGTTGCCAAATTTCAGTCATGTGCTTAAGACTTGGTGTTTGGATTAAGTCCTAAATCCTGCACAAAGCACACAGACGGTGATTTTACATGGCTAGAGGGTCACACTGGTCCTGCTGTTGGTCTTTGGTGCAGAAGCTGTACTGGAGCTGCAGGTTACTCTGGCAGATGTTGTCACTTCCACAGCCCGAGTTCAGAAACGAGACCTGGGAGATAGTGTAAAGACTTGCTGAAGCTTTTATTACAATATACAGTAAGCTAGTATCATGATATTGCCATAAGCTGCAAAAATAACTGGTATAATTACAAAACATATTTGCAATTTTTGTGTTTATTGTACATACTAATTGGGAGTAATGCATTCACTAACATCAACAGTGGGAAAAAAGCTACAGTTGTTACAGAACTTCATTATAAAAATATATTGCATTAATGAATATTGCCGTATATCTAGATTATTGTGCGGCATAGGAAGGCAGGTCATATGGCTGATGATGTGATCACCTCTGCTTTGCTTGTTTTTTCCTGCAGTGTGTTGAGAACTGGCTCCAGATCAGGCAGGTTTCTGATGGTCTGTTTTGGATTGTCAGATGGTAGAGAAACAGACAGGCTGATGCTAATACTGGTCAGCTTGTCCTGGATTTCCCCCTAAAACAAAACACACTAGCTTTCATCATAAATTCTCATTAGTGGTTTATAAAGGATGACACTTTACTTAAAATGTGATGTCTACTTTACTTGACATGTCATGAATGTGGGTAAGATTTTATGCAAACTTATGTCAACTGTTGTTAAGTGTCATTTGCTCAGTTGTGTATTTTTAAATGCAAAGACAACATTGTTTGTTATGACAACTTGACATAAACAAACACATCATAAACAGTCTTTATCTTTGTCATGACAACTTGACATTGCCTAAATTGTCATAAATCTGTCATAAACATGATTGTTATGAGGCCATTGTGTCATGAATATTTTTCTGATCACTTTTTCAGTGGAACAAACTGCATTTGTCATTAAAAGGTATCATTAAAATTGTCATTACTGTCAAATCATTTTACAAGAGCTTCAATAATATTTAATGACATTTTAATGACAGATTCAGCTTTTACCACTGAAGCTGAGGTTAAAAAAAATATTCATGACGCTATTATAAAATTAATGACATATTTTTAATGGCTTCATGACAATCATGTTTATGACAGATTTATTTGAAGTTTTGTTGTCTTGGTAATGTCAAGTTGTCACGACAAAGACAAAAGCAGTTTATGATGTATTTGCTTTTGTCAAGTTGACATCTTTGCATATAAAATATCATAACTGAGCGAATGACACTTAATATCTGTTAGAATCCTGCATAAAATCTCATTCAAATTCATGTCATGATTATAAAGGTTTCATGACAGTTTTATGAACACCTCTTCAACTAGTGTTACCAAATGTCCTACTTGTGCTCATCCATATGAAGCCTAACAAAAACAACCAGCATAAATGAGATCATTGACTCAAACATTCTAATGTACCAACTATCATTTTATCTCTGTTTTTTCCTCTCAAAGCGATAATAAGATTTTATGAATCACCAAGGATCACAGTTTCTTTAATGCTCTACTTAAAAAAAATTGGATTGCCTGGAGGTCAATCAATAAACCAAAATTTTGTCTCTTTAAGATAAAATAAAGATGACACAGAAGTATTACAGAATGGTCCCATGCAACATGTTGAATATTAAGTGTGTTTTGAGGTACATAATACAGTTTGGTAAAAAACAAAAATATTCAATATACAACCAATATTTGATGTATTATTTAACTAAAATCCTAACCTTAGCTTTCTGTGCACAACTTGGTGTTTGCACAAATATAATATTAAAACAACAACACCTAGTAGTAAATAAACAGCAGCTGTCAGATTGGGCGATGAAGGTTATAATTTGCTGTTGTGATGAACCGAACAGTATTTTCTTCAGAGAAGAAAGAACATGGCTTGTGTGTTTTGTTTTGTTTCTATTATTCTTGAAATCTCACAACTTGTTTGCTTTTCCTTGATGGCTCAGAGTGTAGTGCTGTGCTGAATAGAGTCTCAAAAATGCAGTCCACATGATTTTTCTTAAATAATACATTATGTTTTGGTTTGTTTTTCACCAAACCCGAATACTGTTCACCCTCAACACACTTGATGCGTGCGGTATGCTGTGTTGCCAAATGTTTACTTTTTCATCATTTTTGTAAAAGCTTAATGTTGGCTCATAAATGTCATAACAGTTTCATAAATGCACAATTGTGTCTGGAAGACTTTTTTTTAAATAATACATTGACTAATACATTTTGGTTTATTTTTTACCACACCCTATCATATACCTCATAACGCTTGATATACACCAACCAACCACTTTATTAGGTACACTTTACTAATACCGGGTTGGACCTGCGTTTGCCTTCAGAACTGCCTTAGTCCTTCATGGGATAGATTTAACAAGGTACTGGAAATATTCCTCAGAGATTTTGGTCCATATTGACATGATAGCATTATGCAGTTGCTGCAGATTTGTTGGCTGCACATCCATGATGCGAATCTCTCATTTCACCACACCCCAAAGGTGCTCTATTGGAGTGAGATCTGGTGACTGTGGAGACCATTTAAGTAAAGTGAACTCATTGTCATGTTCAAGAAACCAGTCTGAGATGATTCACGCTTTATGACATGGTGCATTATCCTGCTGGAAGTAGCCATCAGAAGATGTGTACACTGTGGTCATAAATGGATGGACATGGTCAGCAACAATACTCAGGTAGGCTGTGGCATCATCTGAATGTCGCAGCTGAAATTGAGACTTATCAGACCAGGCAATGTTTTTCCCAATCTTCTATTGTCCAATTTTGGTGAGCCTGTGCAAATTGTAGCCTCAGTTTCTTGTTCTTAACTGACAGGAGTGGCACCCGGTGTGAATTTCTGCTGCTGTAGCCCATCCGCCTCAAGGCTTGACTTGTTATGCAAACCATTTTGGCCATTTGGCTTTAACAAGGCATTTGTGCCCACAGAATTTCCGCTCACTGCATATTTTCTATTTTTTGGACCATTCTCTGTAAACCTTAGAGATGGTTGTGCGTGAAAATCCCAGTAGATCAGCAGTTTCTAAAATACTCAGACCAGCCCATCTGGCACATACAACCATGCCATTTTCAAAGTCACTTAAATCACCTTTTTTCCTGCAGCAGATCATCTTGACCATGTCTACATGCTTAAATACATAAGGTTGCTGTCATGTGACTGGCTGATTAGAAATTTGCGTTTATGAGCAGTTGGGCTGGTGTACCTAATAAAGTGGCTGGTGAGTGTATATGCTGTGTTGCCAATATTTTTTATTTATTCATCTGTGATTATAGCCAATAATTATTGGTGTTTTTTATATAACTGTTTTATTTAACAGTTATATCCATTAAAATAATAACATCTTTAGGAATGCAAAGATAATACATTTATATCTTAGTTTTCTTTTGTTTATTAAAATTTTATTTAATATGTTCGCCCAACATATTAATAATTTTTGAACTTCGATCTTCATTTTGTTAGATAGATTAGTTCCAGCTTTGCTTTGGCACTGACTAATCTAATGTATATGCACAAATATATTATTGTAAAGCATCCTATAGAAAATATGAATTTAAAAGAGAGATCTGTGAGGTACTCATTTATGCTGAGCACAGTATGTAATCCTATTATACAGGCACTTTATCATTAGAACATCACCAGGGTCAATAAATAATTAATGAATATTAATTTCTGGCTAAGCTAATCTTCAAAAGCCAGTGTGAGCTGAGGGTACCAGCAGTCTCAGCTTGGTCTGCACACATGATTTTTGCCTCTGTGCTTTCAGTTGCTGGCGTCCGTTTGCAGCGTCCGAATTAACAAAGACCACTCGTGAAGGAAGACCCCTCTCTCTGCGCACTGTATCGGCCTCCAGTTTGTACTCAATCCCTGCAGAGAGGTAAAATACATTTAAAAAGGCTGAAAAAGTTCTAAGAAATTGCTCTGATAAGAAGCTATTAGCCAAGAACTAATCAAACACACCCAGCTGGAATGATATAAAGTAGTCAACATTGAAGTGGATCAAAACGTTTGATCAAAGTTGCCCTACAACTATTGAACAACACCCATTCTTGCCTTTGAAATACTTTAATGATCCACTTTAAATGTTGACTCCTGTAGATTGCTCTGGGGTGTTTTATTATTTTATTTTGTACATTTTTAAGCTTAGCAAACAAGAAATGGACTCTTACTTAGTTTGGGATTGTATGTTTGCGGCTCAGTTGTGTAGGTGAAGCAGGATTGAGCTGTAATAATGCTGAAAGATTTTCAAAATGCATTCAAATGAAAACTGAATCATTTTAATAACTTGTACATGAAATATTCTGGTGATATCTCACCATGGTTTTCTCTTGCAGTCCTGTGCCTTGAAGTCAATCTTATTTGGTGTTAATGTTAAGGTCTTTTCTATGTTTATCACTGGCTTAGTCCTTAAAAAAGAATGTATTCATTATTAATATAATAATTGATATTTACATATAAATAATTTGATTTATTACTTCATATAGATCATACTTTATCTTTCATGAAATACAGCTATGGAATTATTTGCTATATATTTACAATATTCAGTTATGTGTGTGAGTAAAACAAATATACAGTTGAAGTCAGAATTATTAGCCCCCCTGTTTGTTTCAACACATTTCTAAACATCATAGTTTTATTGACTCATTTCTAATAACTGTTTTATTTTATCTTTGCCATGATGACAGTAAATAATATTTTCCTAGATATTTTTCAAGACACTTCTATACAGCTTAAAATGACATTTAAAGGCTTAAGTAGGTTAATTAGGTTGGCTAGGCAGGTTAGGGTAATTAGGCAAGTTATTGTATAAAGATGGTTTGTTCTGTAGACTATCAAAAAAAAAAAAAAAAAGATAGCTTAAAGGGGCTGATAATTCTGATTTTAAAATGTTTAAAACTGCTTAGCTTCTAGCCAAAATAAAACAAATAAGTCTTTCTCCAGAACAAAAAATATTATCAGACATACTGTGAAAATTTCCTTGCTCTGTTAAACATAATTTGGGAAATATAAAAAAAAAAATTATAAATTCTGACCTCAACTGTATATTTTGTTTTATTCTGTAAACAATTGCATTTCTTTTTAAATTTAAAATAAAAATGTTGGAATTTTTATATTAATTTAACATTTGATATTAATACAAAAACAATGCTTTAACTACAGAAGAATTAGTAAACTATAGTTGGTGGAATAACACTTAAAAAAGCTCTAAATTACAATATTTCTGTTTAAAATTTAGAAGAAATGTTATCAGACTATTACAGAATAAAAACAAATATTGACATTTTACTCAACCATATCGAATAAATCCATTAAACTGAGAATTTTCAAGTGGTCTCTTAATTTTTTCCATAGCTGTATATTTTTAATGAATGTGTCAGATTATTTTTATATGAATGAATATACATATAAAGAGCAGAAATCATTCAACCTGTAAATCAGCACAGTATCTGAGAATGAACCCACAGCCAGCTCTGGATAGCCATTACTGTCCATATCCATGTTTCCAGCCAAGGAATAACCAAACAATTTGATGCTATGATCTCCAGCATCTAAAACCTATAAACAGAAATAACAATTCAACAAATGTAACTTATCTTGCAAGTTTATTATTTAAAAATTGACAAATCTTAATTAAGACTGCAAGTGCATTCAAGTAATTTCGGTCAGAGCAAGATGGCTATGAATCTCTAATTAAAAACATTGAAAAAGATTTTTAAGCTGTTAGAATTAAAAATGAAGATGCATCAGGAATGCATTTGTTTTTAGATGTAGCTAAAAACTAATTGTTTAAAATAAAATGTTCATATTTCAATTCATTTTTCAATCATAAATATGACTTTTGGTGTCATTAATATGCATTTAACTCATAAAAGTGATCTCTTCAACATGGCCTTAATGTAAAATACATCATTCCTAAAGCTCAATTACAACAAAAAGTTATATACAAGTTATAAATATGCAACTTCTTTAACCAACCGTTGGTTTGTGATGAAATCCTGCAGCTGAACCATGGTAAATATACACTCGACCTCTCCCTGAATCCTCATTTGGTGCACTGGATGCAAAATCTGTACAAAATCATCAGTCAGATGCACAGTAAACATAATTTAATACACTGAACTAAAATAACCTCTCGTTAAACCTTGGTATCCATCCTGATTGAGATCCCCAACATGCGCCACTGCCAGTCCAAACATGGAGTCTTTTTTACCATACAGACACACTGGTTGGATGTGGCTCCAGTGTTGACCCTCGGCTTGGTTGATGTAAATGTACACAGCACCTCCTACATCATCATCCATGTTTTTACTGGAGAACTCGGGTGCACCCACAACAATGTCATCCCACCTGAAGCAATGTTAAAAGGAACACTGACTTAATATATCGTCAATTATTTTGATTAATCCTTTAACTTGCACTTTAAGAATTTTTTGCAACGTAGGCTCATTGTGAAAATGTGCCCAGGGATACATTTCTGAGAACCAGAAATATGTGCCTCAGGGTACATAATGGCTGCATTTTGTGTGTAAAACGAATGATACAGGGTGCTACCGCTGACCGATTACCTCCATATATATGGCTTTTCCAGCATTACTAGTTTTCTTGGTAGCTCGTTTGAGAAAACATGCCCCAGTAACTTATTTGAGATGGTTAAAAATTTAATGATTGGTCTCTAATGGATTTGTAAAAAAGAAAAATGGCAAGAAAAATTAGTCCAGGATACATATTTCTTGGTTCTCAAAAATGTAACCCTGGGCTCATATCAACAATGAGCTTGAGTTGTTTTTTTTTAACCAGTTTTCAATTGTGTTCCTGACTCCAATCTAATCTAATTTATTTAGAGTTTTTGGTTTTAATTTTTGGTTCCTGTTAAAGGGTTAATGAATGTACAGTTGAAGTCAGAATCATTAGCCCCCATTCATTTTTTATTCTCTAATTTAAATATTTAAATACTTCCCAAATGATGTTTAAAAGAGCAAAGACATTTTCACAGTATGCCTGATAATATTTTTTCTCTGGAGAAAGTCTTATTTGTTTTATTTCAGCTAGAATAAAAGCAGTTTTAAATTTTTTTAAACATCATTTTAATTATTAGCCTTTTTAAGCTAAAACATATGCCGGAATAGTATAGTATAGTTCATTCCGCTGTGGTGACCCCTGATAAATAAGGGACGAAGCCGAAGGAAAATGATTAAATAGTTGTGTAAAAATATTTTGGGTTGCTGTAAAGCAACAAGCAGCGTGAAACTGCTTTTTACCAGAGTAAAACTATTTAATGTCAAGCATTGCACACATAAAATAATGGTGTCCCCCAATAGACCAAAATGAGTGTACATATGTTTATATAAAATAGATCTTTCAGGTATGTTCTACTACATACTTTTTTTACTGACAAACAATTTTACTGTACATCCTTTATGTATTCATTCATTAATTCATTCATTTTCTTGTCGGCTTAGTCTCTTTATTAATCCGGGGTCGCCACAGCGGAATGAACCGCCAACTCATCCAGCAAGTTTTTACGCAGCGGATGCCCTTCCAGCCGCAACCCATCACTGGGAAACATCCACACACACATTAACACACACACACACACTCATACACTACGGACAATTTTAGCCTATCCAATTCACCTGTACCGCATGTCTTTGGACTGTGGGGGAAACCGGAGCACCCAGAGGAAACCCACACGAACGCAGGGAGAACATGCAAACTCCACACAGAAACGCCAACTAAGCTGAGGCTCGAACCAGTGACCTTCTTGCTGTGAGGCGACAGCACTACCTACTGCGCCACTGCTTCGCCTACTGTACATCATTTAAAACCATATACATTGTAATAACTGGGGTTTCCTTTTTACACATAATAAAGTAGGTTGTAAAAGTGGAGTGTACTGATTACTCATGACACATTTTACAGCCTCATCCGGTTTAGTCATTACTGTAACTAGTTAAATGAAGACTCACCCGTCTGCGTTTAAGTCAAGAATGGTGAGGTCGTAGCCAAAGGAGGAGGCTAAACCCGGTCCTCTAAGGATGTGTTCGACTTTTAAGTTTCTTGCTTCTGTTCTGTCTTCTGGTCTCAGTAGTAAAACCTCGCCGCTGTGGTTTGATCGTGGAGCGCCTGCTACCACATTCAGCTCTCCTTTCTTCATCAGGTTCATCCCAGTGTCGAGAGCAAAGCCTAGAGAGGATGCAATGAAGGTGTTGATAAATAGATCAGTTCACTGTTACGTCATACACTGAAAAAATGATTGATTGGATTTACATTTTTTTATGGTAAGTGGTTGCAAACAATTTATATGTTCTGAATTTAAATGGAAATAAAATTTAAATTAAGTTGAATATTACTAAACTTAGTTTGTTTGTTAAAATTCAGCCCATATAAACAGTTTGCAACACTTACCTTAAAAAAATGTAAATCCAATCAATCATTTTTCAGCATACACACACAAACAGTTGAATTCAAAATTATTATTATCCTCCTATGTTTTCTTTTTTTAAACATTTCCCAAATGAGGTTTAAAGAAGCAAGGTATTTTCACAGTATTTCCTATAATATTTTTCCTTATAAAGGAAGTAGTTGTTTTATTTCGGCTAGAATGATTTTATTTTATTTTTTTAATTTAAGGTCAATATTGTAAGCCCCCCTAAACTATATATATATATATAAATATATATATATATATATATATATATATATATATATATATATATATATATATATATATATATATATATATATAAATATATATTTGCTGCTGTGTTCGCCTATTTTTAAAATTCTCCAGATTACTGGGTTAATGGTTGAAATAGATAGGGGAAGAGACCTGCTGCACTGCTATCCACTGTGTGTGCATTCAGACCCTGGAAATTGAGGAGAGAAGTCCTTATAGTGTTTATATAAACACAATTATCTTTATAATGAGTGTATATGAAATAACGAATAACAAATGTAGCAGGACATTAAATTACTTAGTTTATTTCTTTACATTACTATAATATAACTATAAAATCATGCGTCTTCTCACAGTTTGTGTTTCATTTTATGAGCCAACTGACAACAGTTGTTCACTCTCCTCTTTCTCCCCTGCTCTGCCGGCCACACACTTCACGCCCATAATCATGGATTTTTTGAAAAATTCTGAGGTAGACTTGAACCAAAAGAGAGGGGTTTTATGGCCTTTTAAGATCAATATTATTAGCCCCCTTAAGGACAAACTATTATGTTTAGAAATGTGTTGAAAAAAATATTTCCGTTAAAAAACAGAAATTTGGGGAACAATATACAAAGGGGCTAATATTTCAGACTTCAACTGCACACACACACACACACACACACACACACACACACACAAATATGACATTGCCCTTGATCACCTAAAAAGCTGCTGATGTCCACAGGATTGAGTTCGTGTTCATCTGCTGTTTCATAGATCTCCAGAGAGAAGTCCTCAACAGGCTCCATGTGCACAATGCCTAAAGGGTGAAAAAGAGAAATGTCATTATCAATTACTTCATATGACATATTTTGCTGTATTTGGAAGTTACAAGGAATACTTTGCAAATGTAAAGGTTTACTTTATCAGTAAAGAACCACCTTCCTGTTGCTTTGCAATACCTTTCCAGTCATATGCTCCTGGAGCTCCATAAACAAGATATTTGCTGTCTTTGGAAAAAGCTACAGAGAGACCCTGTTGACAGTACCCAAAGTTGTGTTTATCTGTCTCCCGAGTCCTACAAAATGATCTCGTATCTGCTCCATCCGTCCCCAATACAAGGTCCTGTCCCAGGACAAAGCATCTGCCCAATAACCGCTGATTAGTGAAGCTCCAATCCTGGTATCTGTGTGCACAGGTCTAGACACAACAGAGTAGCTTATTAATAAAACATATATGATAGTTCTGAGGTGTCAACTTTTGATAGTGTCTTCATAACAAAAATATTTATTTACCACTACTTTGCCTCCTCGTCCCTGACTTTGAACACTAACACCTAGCCATTGGTTTTCTCTATAGTCCACTCCTGGATGATCTTTAGATCGAGCTGCCAATACAGAATAATTAAAATATGTCTGTCAAGATGCTTAAGCGTGTTACTTTAATCAATAATACAATTGACAAGCAAATAAATGAGCAAAAGTCATTCAAATGAATAAAGTGAAAGCCCAACTAACCTTTTATATCAACGGGGATGCGTTCACAGTCATCAGGTTGAGTTGTGAATTTACACCTGTACAGACCACCAGATATATTGGCGTTTTGAACTGGCAATGCTTTAGCACGAGGAGCTCCAATCAGCAGTCTGAAAACATAACCATCATGTTGTCAGATACAGTGTTGGACGAAAGTTTGGGAAAACCTAGCAGAAACTGAATATAAAACATTGAATAAGAATAGGAGAACAAGCATAATACATGTTATTTTTTATTTAGTACTGTCCTGAATAAGATATTTTTTACAGAAAAGATGTTTACATAGTGACACTTTTGGACAAAACAAAGATGTCTAAATTTGTCGAAATATCATGTTTCCCCATTTAGTGGGTTTCAGAAGCAAAATAAGACACTTGCCAGTCCTCAGAAAAAACAAATCAAGTGTAATTTACAAAGCATCAGTGTGAATTTAAATCTCATTTTTCTTCAGTGTAAAAAGATGGATCTCAGAATCATACAGTCACTGCTGGAAAGGGTTCAGATATGAAAAATTAATAATAATAATTATAATAAAATCGGCAAACTGCCCTCAAAAGACAATTTATTAAGTATTAAAATATTTTTTCTCTGTTTATGAAACTAAAGGGACAATTGTTGCTTAATTGTATTGTTTTTTTATTGGTGATTCATAATATGTAATGTAATCTTAAGCTTGGCACGCAGTTTTGGAGAATTTGATGTTTCCCGATTCAAACAGAATGCTCGAGCATACTGCCCTAGAGATGCTTCAACGATGGCCGCCGAGTGAAATGACTTGCCTTTAAGGGACTTTGGTTTAATTCGCTCGAGCCCCTTCTTAAAGATTTTTTAGAATGTGCACACACTGACCCTTTTTCCATCCAATAATTTCACCATTGTTTTGTTTTGTGGATTATATGTAAACATTCATTCATTTTCTTTTTGGCTTAGTCCCTTTGTTAATCTGGGGTTGCCACAGCTGAATGAACCGTTAACTTATCCAGCATATGTTTTACACAGCGGATGACCTTCCAGCTTCAACCCATAACTGGGAAACATCCACACACACTCATTCACAATCACACCCATACACTATGGACAACTTAGCTCACCCAATTCACCTATACTAGCACATGTCTTTGGACTTGTGGGGTAAACTGGAGAACCCGGAGAAAACCAAACGAACATAGGGAGAAACTACACACAGAAAAGCCAACTTACCCAGGCGAGGCTTGAACCAGTGACCTTGCAGTTAGGCGATCGTACTTATATGTAAACATTTTTTACGTAAAATACTTCACAGGGACAGTACTAAATAAAAAAATAACAGCATTTTTTCTATAATCTCTCTTATTTTGTTAAAATTGCATTTTCACATCTTCTGCAAGATGTTCCTAAACTTGAGCATAACACCAGGGTGCGAATTACAGGGGGGTTTAGGGGGAATTAACCCCCCCACCCCCAATTAATGCTTGAAGGATGTCAGAACAACATGTATGTGGGGTTAGTCCTCTAAATAGTGAGAAATAGTTTGCTCTGGTCTGCATCTTAAATACTATTATTACTAATTAAATAATAGATAATAAAGATATATATTTGACCACTTCTACAATGGATTATACCATTGTAAATGCAATTAATATAAGCCAATAGACATAGTAAGTTTTTACAAAACACTTTTCTTGTAAAATAGGTGTATAGTCTAAAAGTAAAATAAAATTAGATGCCTGCAGTACCCTCTGCAATGGCTTATCACAGGATATTTTAGGTCTGAATAGTCAAACTATCCCACAAAACACTGACAAAGTAATTGTGTTGCATTAACAAAATAGATGTCATCTCATTTGATTCACTGAAGCTTGTATTACACAAAATAATAGTCAAGAATATAATAAAGTTGACCCCCCTGATTGTCACTGTATACTGTAATTCGCATCCTGCATAACACTATAGATAAATAGACAGAAATAGACAGATTTCCTCCGCATATTTTAAATGCTTCTGATTAATGTCACTTTTGCAGAACCCTTTTTAAAAATAAAACTATTTCTAATTTACATTAATATTTTATTAAATTTGGACACTATATAATTTAATAGTAGGCCTATATAATAGTAAACAAATGCAAATCAGCATGTGACATACTGTTACTGACATTACATGGTCATTATAAAATGTTAGGGCTGTTTTTATATAATATAATATAATATAATATAATATAATATAATATAATATAATATAATATAATATAATATAATATAATATATTGTCACACATAACGTAATTGAAAACCGTTTTCTCACACGCGTTGGTCTGAAGGTTTGAGCTGATGATGCATGGCCATAGAAAAGCCAAACAAACTGTCTGCTTCTCCACGCTTCCTCATCACGTTCTGTGTGTCCAGGTTAAAGACAAAAACCTGTGCTGGAAGAATTATCCACACGGTGAAGAGGAGACTGAACAACATGACCATGAAGCTCGGTGGAGGAGACTGCAGTTTAATTCCAGAAAACAACCCCAACAACTCCTACAGCAGGGTGAGGCGAGGCGACACTTTATATCAACCCTGGCTGATTTATGTCCTCAGGGTGGGGATAAGAACAATTGTACAGTATGTAGGTTAATGTTTAGCTGTGAAGGAAAGGTGAACACATGCCCTTTCATCCTCAGTCATTTCCTGACAGGTTTAGTCAAGTTCAAGATAAGACTCGACGTACTGTAAAATGGCGCAATTTGTGATGAGAATCAGTACGAGTATATGGGATGGACAAAATGAATGTACACCACATGCAGGGCACAGAGCGTTTATCTAGACAAATTGAAAACACATAACAAATACATTTGTAAATAAAGGCCAATTAAACCGCCGTTTGATTTCTAAAAGACTATTTGATAAATTACACATTGAACCAAAAGATGGCGCTAAAGATTTTTGGTGTGAGAGATACATTCAGCTTCAATCAATGGTCAAGCACACATACAGTCGTTGTGTACTGCAAAATATTTTTATACAGGCCTGTGGCCAGAGGTGTTCAGGTGTTTCGAAAGGCTCACCCCTCTTCTTTTCAGAATTTAGCCCCTATATGAGCTCATTCGTCCCATTTTTGACAGTATGCCATTATGAATTGTGAAGATAACCAATAGAAGAAGGTTAAGAAGTATAATCAAACAATGAAAGAAGGCTCTTATCATTTAAATAGAAAAACTTTAACTGAGGAAATGAGCTGGCCAGTTTGTTATTTGCCTATAGGCTACACTTTTACATTTAACAAGTTTTTTATAATGGATTATAATAAATTAGCATTTAAAAAATAAGTATGTTTTCCATATTTCTAACATTCCAATCTCATTGCATTATATATAAAACTGTAACAACTTGTAAATAAACACACATTTTTTTAAACAAAAATTAGTAATATAAGCAGTTTGACAAAAATGGAAGTATTTTTGCTGCATCAAAAGTGTGGTAGTGATCACCATCCAACAAGCTAATCCAGCACAGACTAGTGCTTAAAATGTCACTGAAATGTAGTATTTGAACCTCAAATAACTGTAAAAAGCTCAATTTTTTTTTGAGAAAAAAGAACCACTTCTTTAAATAGGTTGGTTACAGGCCTGTTATAATAATTGGAAATGTACAATATTTTTTATTCTAATACTGTTAGAAATATTGAACAGAATATTGAATATTGTGACTCTGCCTCATGCACACTGTATAAAATGCAGGGTTCCACACTATTTATTCCTTTTGTCCCAACACAAATTGATTAAGTTAACACTTTTTACAAATTTATGTAGAACATTTTATTGAACATAAAAAGATAAGTTGTCCCAATGAAATCTCAAGAATTGTGTTGTTTGAGCTCATTTTAAATAAGTAGTTCGAACGAGCAAAATAAAATATTTTTTTGAGTGTATGTGAATTTAAGTTGTCATACAATTGTTATTATTATTTTTTTAAATATAGAGGTTTTCCTGTCACAATTTTATATCAAACAATTTTAATTTTATATATTGCCACAAGTCAACATATATTCATTAAAAATAAATACTGGAAAAATTCAAAATCTGGTGTGAACAGTCTAAAATATAAAGCAAAATTTAATGATTAAATGAATTTAGGTTTGGACAAAATGAACAGAATATATATTAATGTAAGTGGAAAAAACACAAGTACAAAAACTGCTTGAAAATATTGATTAAAAGAATAAATTAAATAAACATATTAAAATGTTAAACATTGTAAATAAAAAATAAAAAAAACATTTTATCTACATTTTTTCTGACAAGTAAAAGTATGATGGTAGAGTTCTACAGTATGGCAAAAGTTGAGTGGCAGTGTTTGTTTTTCGTAGCCATGGTTTGGAAACTAAAGCATCATTGTGGTTTTAGCACTACGAGGTGTATCATGTCAACAACACATCCAAATGAAAACTAATAACTAATTTAGAAAATAACCCTCACGGCAGACCTAATGTATCACTTGTGAGGAGTTTTAGTGTTGAGCATATTTATAAATGTTCAAGACAATCCATTACATTATTATATACATATACCATATACATTAAGCATGTATTGTATTCAAAGAATGACATAGAACAAGTGTTTTAAAATGCAATGTTTAATTTGTTGTGTCAGTTCTGTTAATTTACCATTTAATTAATTGTAAAAATGACTATTTTTCAGAGATAACTATTGTTTACAGCAATCCCTTAAATAACATCAGCATGCATTAAAGCACTACTAACTATAAGCATGACCAAAAATAACTATACATCCTGTGGAAAATGTAAGCTTATGCTGCGAGCGAGTTGTTTACTGAGAAACCCACTGTGAGTCTGGTCGAGATGAGTGGTCATGGGTAAGATGAGCGAGGGTGTGGGTAACAGGAGGACAAGAGCAGACAAGGTTCAGAGAAACCGCTTAAAATAACAGGTCTATGCACTTCCACACACATAAAAACACTGTTGTGAACTGCAGCTCCAACACTGCACCGCAAACAATAACTACACTTTAAAAATAACGGGTCAGCGTCTCTGACACTGAGATATTTAAATGTAAGTTTTATTTTTAATTTCAAAACATTGACGACTATAAATAACTTTCAAACAGATCAAGTCAACTAGAGGTCATAAGAGAACTAGTATACTG